AAAATAGTAATAACGGTCGGCAATAGTCTCCCAGTCTACGTTAGGTGCTTTAAATCTCACAAGGTTGTTGATAAACGTAGGTGGAAGGACGCAGAACGGGCCAAGGCCTCCCCGTCCGCACCTGCCTCCCACGCGGCTCTACCATGTCCCGACAGTGACCCCTCCCCCACCCTTTGCCGCGGTCCGCCACCACCTCACGTGTAATGATAATAGCTCTTCGACTTAAGCATGACTGCATGCTGTAATACTATTGTGCTTTTATTTCAGGCACATCTGTGACTGACTTAAGCATAATAATAATAGTCGGCTTATGTAAACATTAAAATTAAGGTAATTGTAGTTGAAGGAAACTGGTAATGTTTAACTTTTTATGGGCAGTTTACAGTGCGTGCTAAATGTCTGCAATACGATCACGTCAAGAAATGTGTAGGTGTTATGAGATGAAGGATTAAGTTCACGCGAGGGTAGAATTTTATAAAGTCCTTGCTACCAAGGACGCACGTGAAAGGGTGGGGGAGTTGACGAAAGAAGGGGGAGGGTATGGTGTGTTCATTGAGTGCGGCGGATGAATGGGCCGCTATGACTCACCGGATCGATGCAGAGCCACCGGCTACCACCCGCGCCCCGCAACCGTCCCGCGTCTGCGTGGTGCCTGCCTGCTAGCCTTGCAGCGCAAATATTGGACCATTTTTTATTATGAATGTGATAAATACTTAGCTTTAAAAAATCTCACAGTCTTCAATGCGTCTGCGTTCACTTCATGAATTTATGTAACGTGTGCAAAATTATAAAAATATGTACTAAACCAAAATATGCATTTAAAGGAATGGAAAGGGTTGTAAGTTGATGAAATAAAACTAATTTAATTTGCGTTTCGTTTAGATAACTGTAAAAACTTTGTTTGATCTTACGGTACTATTGATATTTTGAATATTACTTATAGCAGCTCCCGCGATTCTGGTCGGAACGGTAGTTGAGTGGACCAACTCAACTCTTACCTTTGGATCAAACAGTTAAAAAAAAGAGTTCATACATTTCTAACGTATTTGATTCAACAATACTAAATCCGATGGTTTTATTGTACCTGGTGTGACAATATTTATATTTTCTAAATGAATTACGGTCTTCATTTCCTAGAGCAACAGAAGATTTCTGAGCTTTTATGCATCTCCCAACTAGGTCTAACAATTTTGTTCAACATCAATCGCATTTTATGAGTTCTTGCCAAATTTCTATTATACCTAGAGAGCTCTAGTTCTTTACACCAATACAGATAACGTTCCGTCGAAAATCAATGCTGATAATAACAGTTGACACCTCCTATCGTAAATTAGTTTCCGTAGATAATGCTTAAGCTTTCGAGTTGCCACTTTTTGTTGTTTGGATAGTTAAAGATCATCCATTGAATGAGCGTCATATTAAATTTAACAGCTCAGTTGGTCTGAAGACCTCACCTATTGTGTCGAAACCTACAGTTTCAATTGCTGTCTTAATAAAGAATAGTACACCACTTGATTTTTTTCGGTATCTAGCCGCAGTTTTTCGACAACCTCGTCGGTTTCCTCCAGAGTTTTAAAGTGCTTCTAAACCAGTACCGGCCTCGATCAGTTTTATCTGTCCGTTGATCGACGCAGCCGACTATCATCATTTACTTCACTTGCTCAATCAGTCAATCGATAGACTGATCCTCGTGCTGTATCCATGATAGTTTTCACCTTTACCAGGCTACCGGTACAATATAAATGAAAAAGAATAAATAGGTCTTATTTGAGCGCATATGTATTGTATTCTGATTTCTTTTGAAAGGAAAGTCTTAATCTGTATACACTTCAACCACTTTTATATTCTGAAATAATTTTTCATCGCTTTTATTGCCGTTATTGCCCACTCTTATATCCTCAGTTATTTATATTCTGATTTCAACCATTAATTTGTTGGTTCAAATTGGAATATCTAAAAGTGATATTATAACACAATGATGTCGAAGTTGAAGTGATAACAATATTATAATGGTTCCGACATCAAGCTATCTCCGGGAGAAGCTGCTAACATTCATCATGGCAATCTGGTACGAGCAGATCCGTGGCGATCCCGTTTCCCACTGTACCTAGGAGGGGAGAATAAAATATTGGAGTATTGTCACGCATAAGGTGCTTAACTGCTTTAACAACCTATACGAAGGCATAATAATTTCGATGGCGTCGCAATAAAAAAAATGGTTGTCGATACTGACAATTCGATATGTCTAATATGTAAGAAATGATGGACATAATGGGAGCGATATTAGCAACACAATTGCGGGCATCGGCCGCATTGACAGGAAGCGGCATAACGTGGTGGAAACGCTAAGTTGTCGCTGCTTCGACGCACCTGTCCATAGCCAATACTTACCGTTAGAAACCTTAGCGTCTACTGATTTACAGCAGGGCCAAATCCAAAAAACTGGGCAAAAATCTAAAAATCAAGTAAATGATCATAAATTTCTTTCTCGGGGGTTTTCGTAGTCGCTGAACACGAATTTAATGTCAAATTCCCTAAAATGTACCCCTTTCACCTCGAATTGACCTTCCCCTTGCACAAAATACCCCATATTTCCTAACGTAATCAAGTTACATATAAAATTCAAGGTTTTTTGGGGTTGCTGATTACGAATTCAAAATAAAAATTAAAAATCTAGTTAGATAAGTGGCGAATCTAATATGGTGACATGAAATTACGAATAGTTTAAGCTTTTCTATATCTTAGCACTGGGGTTTTCAACACTATACTTTTTTTAGTAAAATGATTTTTTTTTCGATTTTAAGGACTAAAAAATCTACATATTCACTGCTTTCTTCTAATTTGCGGCTTTATATAAATGTTATCTTGCATATCAATTAATATTCTACTACCCTTCAGAAGTCGCTTCCATTCTGCAGAATTTAATTTAGTCGTTTTGATAAAATTCTATGCTCCTTATGTGCGAGCGTCTTCTTGCTGATTCCAAACACTGTGCTAACTAAGCGCTAGAGGGTCACGTTTGAACTGAATTCCAGAAGCAGATCAACCAAAGGCAACCTGAATAATAGTGGTTTTGGAGTCTACGGACATCTCTTAAGACAACTTTACAAAAAAAAACTCTAAAACAATGTGGTCCTTTGATCAAATCCTCTGTCAAGGTTGTTTTTCTGTTAATATTTTATTTCTGTCTTTATATGTTTCAACGAAATTTGTACTTTATAAATTTAATGAGTGATATACCGTAGGCGTAGGCGCAGTTTGTTTCTCCTAACTGCATAAGTACTGTTGACATTTTAACGTTAGATCGACCTTTACTTGTATCGAACAATTTGATTTTTTTAAATTTACCCAGTACAGTCAGTCAGTATTTAGGTTTATAAATGTTACGCTCCAAACGCATTCTCTAGTTCATTACGGTAGACGTCAGGCGTCCATCAGCGTGAATGAAAGAATATCAATGAGACAGAATAATGAATGAACGACTAGACTTGGAGCTAAATTAACATTTACTCCTACACTTATTTGCACCAATAGTTATCGCACAGCATGTAATTGCTGAACTAACAATTACATACTCTTGTTAGTGACGGAATAAAACTTTGACCACTCAGCTAGCAGTTTTTATAACAGAATATAATTTTATTTGCCATTGTTCGTGTATGCACAAAATAATTGACTGCACGGATGGCGTAGTGGTTTAAGTGGTCGCCACGCCGCTTCCTACTACGCCGAGTGTTGTGGGTTCAAACCCCACATGGGACAACACTTTGTGTGATCCACAAATTGTTGTTCTGAGTCTGGGTGTTCTTTGTGTCCGTTTCATGTATGTTTGTGAAGTCCCCCGCGACACAGGAATGTATATTCCTAATGCGGGCGTTGTCTTTATTAAAATCACAAAAATCACAATTTAAAAGTGTATAATACATATTTTAAAATTTTATTTTAATTTCATATGTCTCTAAAACGAGAAGCCCAGAGCCTATTCCATATTTCATATTACCGCTTTTTAGAGGTTTTTGTGTTGTGACTATATATTTTTTTCGAAAACAAAAGAAAAGAAACAAAAGAAAATTAACATAATTATGTATACATATAATAAATATATAGTAAAAATAAAGCGATAGAAACCACAGGTGTTCATTCAAAATTAAATAATAATACTTCTGTCATTAGAGTAAATGAAATGGATTAAACTAATAAACATGTTGTCAGGTTATTTACCGAAAATGTTTTACCATAAATCTCGGCCAGAATTTCAGAGGAAAAGTTTAAAATATATTCAGTGTGACAGGGTTTAGATAGAAGCTCATAAACTAGTAAAATTAACATAATGCATAAAATTTTTATAGAAGAGAGTTTAATGATTCTAAAAAGCGAGTTTTGCACTAACTCCGTCTGTAGGAATATTTTCGTAAGATCCAATTTGGGCACGTGAGTCAGATGATTTTTACGTATTTGTGATTGTTTTGGTCTGTTCATAATATAGCTAAACTTATATAACCATTAGTGAATTTCTGGTGTTTCTCTGATGTGAATGTAGATAATGTAACATGTCCTTGTTGAAGGATTTACAACATATCTTTCCTTAAAAAATGTGGAATTACAATTTACTGTCACCATCAAAAATATACCATCCATAGTCCACCAAGTTCTGTCGTCTTATTATATCCTTACGTTGCATGTTGACAATTTTTCATATGTACATCAGATTTAAATAGATAAACATGTTGTATTTTATTTTAATCGTGTAGGTCGAACTGCAAAATTTTTGCTAGAATGCGGTTTTTCTTTTTAATTAGATATATCAAAGTATTCATGGATTTATTTTTTTATTTATAATATGCATTGACCTATATCTAGTGTTAATAATTTTGTTTTCTTAATTTAGAATACCGTTTGTGACTGAAGACAGTTATATAAACCGTTGATAAGTTTTGCGTAGAAAGTTATTAGCTTAATATCTGTATCTAATTAGGCTGTATTATATAATTTGCCTACAGGGGATTTCGCGGAATTCCGTCGAGCATATCCTGAGTGGTGCAGCGAAGCGGGCGCTCAGCATGTTCCACATGCTCATCTGCCATTAATGGGATTACGGTCAGTATTCAAATCTTAATAATAACTACAAAACTAATTTGTATTTTGGCATTCTTGCGGTTCAAAACCATATGCTTTTATATATCATACATAAATAATGGTCGGAAGAGGTCATCTTTGGACATAAACAAAGGTAAGGCTCTTTTTACCATTTATTCTAGAATATCTTGAGTTTTTAAGGACTCTGTGCTGTGTATATTACAATATTGTCTAATCGCTCTTGATTAAAACACTTCACCCTAGTTCCTATTGTCTAGTAGGTATTTATTTCACAAGCCATAATAACTTTCTGCGAACATGTATTTTATACATATTTTTATTGTTGTCCTCATAGCGACCGGCGGCTTTTATCGTTAATGGACTATGCATGTTTTAGTCAGGTACAAGCCATGAGTTCCATTTTCCTAAAGCAGCGGCATAGTCTGAATTCATGACGAATGTGTAATGTATATTCTCGTCCTCACTAAGAGTTCTAATTAAGAAAGTATAATAGTATACTACGTTTCTATTGTAGTCACACTGTTCAATCCACTATTCACACAATTTTGTGCTGATAAGCTTAATTTAATTGTATAATTATAGACAAGTTCTCGATAAACAGGGATGCGCAGGTAACAACAGCATTTTAATTAGTAATTAGTGTTCTAGCTTAATTTATAAGATATGTTTATTGATTTATGGGTCCGTATTTAGCATATATAGGTCTAGAGCTAAAAACATTACCTGTAAACTAATTTTAAGCATTTTCTGAGATACCAAATTAGCAAACTTTTAGGGTTTTTTTTAAAAAGGTCAAATTTTATTAATAGAGGACAGTTATGTAATGATTACAACGTATGTTATTATCGTGTTAGATATCTTTACACTGGCTCTTTCAAGTCATAATTGAGAGAACGAGGAAACTCAGTCGTGGGAACCAGATTTCTTTTCTGAGTGTTGCGATGTTTTTCACCTTGCACCGTTGCTCTACAGAAAACATACCCGAGTCCGATCAATTCCGGCACGACCAGTTACATTGACTTTCTCAATATTGCCTTGATGAGACTTGTCTCAGGTCCGAAGAACTGCATACTTAAGTGATTTACACGATCCACTGCTCACCAATAATGTTAGAAATCAATTAGATAGTAAATTAATTTCAATATTTTCTTTAAAAACAATACATATACAACATTTAACATCATTTACTATGTTGATCACAACACAACAAGATCGATTAATAAAAAATATATTCTCAGAATCGGCGGTGACTGAGGATGTTAGTCATAAAGAGCAAACAGAAGTTCCTTCCTACTGCGTAGCGTCACGCTTTTTATTACTCATCCTGACGATAGTTAGTAATGGATGTGCATGTCTATTACACGTTGCCGTAACTGACTTTTGCAGGTGTGTGAAACACACACCAATGTCAATTATTCCATTCATGTGAATGCGCGGTTGTAATCACGTACGCTGCTTTTATTTGACGGTTAATTCTAAATATCTAAATTACATTGATGTTAGAACACCATATATACACATTTGTAAACAGTTCCTCTAAGCTGTTAAAGGTGAATTACTCCACTTCTCTCGTCGTTCTAGAGCAAAAAAATTGCTCACCATTTAATCATTGCAAGCGATTCAATAAAAAGAGTTGGTTTAATAAACTCATTCATCATTTTCATTGGCGGTGAGGGGAAGCGTCTGAGCCGTTGTAATTGTGCACAGTGCGCAGTGCAGTCGCACAGTTACCTAAACAGTAACACATAATTAGCGTATTGCATTAGAAGCGGTGAAATCGAGCATTGCGCTCAATGGATTGTGCTCCATTCATGCAGCGAGCGTGCATGCCGTAAGCGCGCCGTTCACTCAGTTTTTCCATGAGCAAATCACTGTAGGTATTCGGTATACGATGTTAATGAACCGACGATGTTGAATGGCGATTTGTAATGCGTGACATCAGCATATACTTTTACTGCCAGTCCACTACATGCAGAACGTTTTGATTTGATGTAAATCACTACTTGAACGTTTTATTCACTTCATTTTACTTTTGAATTTATATAAGGTATCGTTGAATTTGCTCTCTATTTATCCATAAATACCATGTAGAAAAAAATAACTTAAATGTACAGTGTTGTAATTTGAATTGTTTTATTTAACTGAGATTTGTAAGCAACCGACTTTGGCTGCGTAGGACATTTGACTGCTACCTTTTACGATATAGTGCCTAAACGAACTATAAATAGGAACATTCAAATTAATTGTATATGTAAGAACGCCTACGCTTGGCTGCCACCGCGCCGCGCAGTACCACGCTCTGGGCCCCCGGCCTCAGGCGATCTTGAATGTACGCAGGGATTACGTAGGCTGTCGACCGACTTACCTGCTCTTTAACTTTAATAATGTTTTACAATATTTTCATGCCTCAGAACATCAAAATTCGTCAAAAAATGTATTTTAAACGTATTTAAAAAATAAACTTACTTTATATCTTTGTATAACGATGTCATTTTTATTTATGGTAATAAAAAGCAACATGTCATTTTATATTTAAATTAGATACCTGTAAACAATATTAGTCAAAATATTTTTTAGTTCAAGATATGACTGAAACGATCATTCTATTGAGTATCTAGAAATAAGCCGGCGGTGCATACTTCAATCTCATCTTGACGATTTTATAAGCTGAATTCTAATGATGTATCTGTAGATCCTGGTTGACTTGACCGCAGGTGACAGGTTATCGGTGATGTGACGTCAATTTCTCTGACGTCAAGGCGTTCCTCGCTCCGCGTGAGCTCATTCACGAATTAATCCGTACACGGTCATGGCCTACATTTATAATCATTTAATATTTCAATTGTTAAAGTATAAGTATATTTATTTGTTCTAAAACAGCTATCGATATTTTTATCAATGAACTTTTAATTTAGTAGTGTCAAACTGTTAACCATGTAATAATGAATGAATCACGAGGTCTTGTATAAATCAACTTCAATTATACATAGATAAAAGTATATAAATGTAACCTACTTAATAAAACTTAATAGCAATCGATGTAATGAATACATTCAAAGTATCTTAGACTCATGCCTCATGTTTTTAATGTAACGCGTTACTCAAGCCAACTCAGATAAAAAGCACATTCAAAATAGAATTCTGACTATTCCACCAAATATCATTATAGCCTACAACCTCGATATACCTACCTACTTATTAAAATAGAACATCAAATACTTTCCTCGCCAGGTCATCAATATAGGATATAACAGCTTCCGTGTCAACTTATTTTGGACCGTCATATCATAAACGAACGATCCGCTTTGTTCCAACGATTCAACTCATCTCATTAAAAGTGCGGCCAACATGGGAACTAGCGAGTCTACCATTAAAAAAACCGTCCCTTGCAGGCGGTCATTGGCAGCGGGTGGGTCGAGCCGCATTCCTGTGCGCCAGGGCACCGCACGCACTCGCTCGCCCACACGCGCCGGCTCTCCAATGTGCACACTGTTACCCGACCGACTTCCGTCGATATACCTCGCTGTTTACTGTCCACTGGTTCGCTCGTCTTCGTTATTTAACCGAGTCGCGCGGTTTCGAGGAGGCACCGGCCGCCCATACATATCGGAGTCGTTCATTAATAACACGACCGACCGTGTCACGGCTTCCGGCGTCCGCCCCTTATACGCAACTACCATTCAAATAAGAAATTGTATTCGCATGAAGTTGATGCCTTCACTTAGGGGGAAGTCCCCTAGTGCCGGACACATAAGGTTTTCAGGAAATAAAATTAAAACTACATCGAGAAATATGTATTTATTTATGAATTACTTAAATTAACAAAATATAAAATCAAAATCAAATAACAAAAATACAAATTCTGCGTAAACATAGTTTAGGAGTGTTAAATAAGTTTTGGTAAAAAAATAAAGGACTTTGACATTGGCACCTAGTACCGGACGGGTTAATCTTCAAACCCCAAGCGCCGGACATTCTAAAACTTTTAGCATCTATCACATATGTAGGCATCTCCACATTCTGGAACGTCTGCACATGCTTCATGAGCCCATTATTGGCATCTGGAGCATTGTATCCAGTCCTCGTCGTGGTCTTCTAAACACAACTACACAAGTCGTTTTTTCTATATTTGATACTTCAGTTAACGGCTCCTTTTTGTTGTCGTTATTGCCACGTTTGGTTTGTTTACTCATGGGGAATCTTCATAGCTTCAGCCAAGTCGTAAGCTAACTTCAAAAACTCGTTTTTCATCAGGGGCAGACATCTATTAGACAAATCTCTTATGTGGTCCACTAAAACTTGCTCATACTCGGGTGAGAAGGTTTTTGTGAATCTACCAACTTTTGGTTGCAACGTGACTTCTTTTCCACTGCTCAATGTCGTTATTTTATCATGTAGAGTACTTTTTGGAACATTGTAACGTGACGAAGCTGCCCTCAAACTCATTTTTTTGGACAAAATCTTGTTCATCGCAGTTTTTAAACTTTGCTGATCCCATTTTCCTTTTTTTTTCCCTCTTGCATTTTCAAATATCTCTCTCCTTCTATCCTGTAAAACAACAAACAATCATCATTACAATAAGTACAAATGCTTCATAAAAAAGCTAACCCATAAACTGTCCGGTGGTAAGGGACACCTTTGTGTCCGAAAGTAGGGGACAGGAAACGTCCAAAATTACGTATTTCATACTAAAACTGTTTAGGTATTTAATAAAAACTTTCACAATATAATAATTATAGTGAAACACTGTCTTTATTAACAAATAACAAAAACAATTAAGGATAAAACCATAGCAGCAATACTTACTTGAAATTTACGTGACGCAACGCTTTCCCACCAAAAACAGCAATTCACGGCTTCCACCACGACTGTGCGCCTCACTGGCAAATCGCGTTGCGTGATCCTGTCTCGCTACGTTCCCCCGCACCCCTTTCACCGATTTATAAATAGATCGCGTTGACGTTTGTCAAAATAGTATGAGTGTCCGGCGCTAGGTGCCGTCCGGCGCTACGGGACTTCCCCCTACACAATAAGCAGCTTCTATGCAAATGTTTTAATGAGCTGCTACATTCATTGTTTAAGTCGAGTGTCATGCTCTGCCTACAGACGCTTACACCTGTGTATTGGGTATTCAAGTTCTCGATCGACATTTGCGTAACGGCCAGGCTCACCCACATTTTTGAAACAAATCTGTGTAAATGGTATCGTTAATATATTAAAACCGGCGGAATAGCGTCGGACGCGTGGGCGAGCCCAGGTCCTCTGAATGGACGTATCGAATGGTCGTCGCCTACGCGCGGCCCACGCTTCATGCCATACTATGAGCCTACTAATGCCTAGTACCTACACAATACAGCTGCCCTCCGTTTACTGTTCATAATTATCTTGATGACCAATCACGCGATGTTAGTCTAATTTTGATATTGCCCATTTATCGCACAGTGGTCATTGATATTCATACCCAATAAAAAAGGTAGACAGAATTATTTTTATTTTTCAGAATGTATATAACAAGATACAACCTGACCGAATCGTATTAGATTAGTTTCGATATATTTATTTAAATCAGCTCCATTGGACTCCGCTTTGAGTCCAAATTACTTTTGTCGAAAACCGGTGGTCAATATTACAAAAACAAAACAGAATATTGCGGTTGCATTACCTAAGTTTCGTCCTTTTTTCGCTTTACTAACGTGACGTAGTTTGAATTGTCTTAATAAGAATGTCTATGAGCACGTCTATAGGCGCCGGTAACCGCTTATCCTAACTCTCTTGAATATTGAGTTACGAATAGGAATCAGTATAAATCAATAATAATAATAGTGGATTTATTGTTCACAAGTAAAAGTTTACAAACATAATTTCATGGTTGTTATTATCAATGATTTTATTTAAACACTTTTTTTTGTAGTAAATTGTATTATGTTTATTTCGTAAAATCAACAATGCTAAAAAATGTTCGTCAGTTCTAATAATTGGCAGAATACATAGTTGGTATTAAAATTAAGTAAAAGAGTAATTCTTGTTATGGCAGTTGACGTAGTGATCCTTAAAGGAGTCAAGATCGTAGCGTAGGTGTCGAGTTATTCGATAGTTATAAGAAGCGAGGGCCGCGCCTAATTTGATTGATTTCGAAACAACAAACTGAATGGCGGCGAGACGATTCGGAGGGCGAATTTGGAAATATCGCGTAGAGCACGTTAGAGGCGGGGGTGCGAGGCGGCGTGCGGGGGCGGACACGAGAGTAAGGACGAGCTCTGCGTGGGCGGCCATTGAGCCGCGGGGGCAGGTGAATGGTGCACCCCTGGAGCCTCCACCCCCATTCAGCAGCCCCGCGATCGATAGCCACCAGGCGGGTGGGCGCACACACACACATTCGGAAGCAAATGTTTGCTAGATGCGCCACCCCACCACCACATTATCGTTACTATATTATATCACTTTAAGATATAGTGCAAAAGTCGATATGAGCTCGCGATACTCACTTGCGAACACTAATGAAACCTAATGATATTAAGGCACATTCTTACTTGTTAGCGAGTTACTATCCTATAGCCCTAGTTCATTATAACTTCTTACGTAGGTGCTCTGACGTTTCTTGATATTTAAGAAAACATTTATCTCAAAAAGTACAAGCTTTATTATAATATACCTGGACCTATATTATATTTTAACCTTTACTCGAAGTTGTTAATATTATTGATGCTAATTTTAGTTACGCCGTGTGGGATGGGGCATCTCCTGTTCAGATCATGACGTTTGTTATCTTTATACCTATAGATTACAGTTAACCTGTAATGGTTTATTTTTATCAATGAACACATTGATCAAACAAAATGAAAGTATACATGGATTTAAATAAATCGTTGAATTTCGTTTGATACACAAATATTATACCTACAAATATGCTTTTAATGAACTACTGTATTCAATAGTTGCGTGTTTTCGTAAGATTCGTTTACGATATTACCTATACGATTTGAATATTTGCTGCAACTATATTTCCTAATCCGGGTACCATATCACTTCATTATATCGTCTGACCATATCTATGAAAAATCAGCACTAAACAATAGTTCTGGATATTGTCGAACATTAAAACATTACGAAATTATCAATATCGTATAATAGTTACATTATCTACTGTTAGGGGCGCTAATTTCGTTATATTTAAGTGTGCATCACTTAAATACTGGCTACGTGGTAACGGACAATTATTTGAAAAGCAGTGTGTGTGAAATTGCAGTGGAATGTCGTAAAGACAATTTAAGAGAGCAATGTATGTTCCTATATAAAAAAATAATAATTAAGGCCTTTATATAATTGAATTGCCACATTGATGATAAGGCCACGTCATGAAGTGATCTATTCTAAAGTTGGTGTTGATGGCCTTTGTTTATTTCGAGATTACACTAATATCCGTTTCGGAACCGAAATATTGATGTGTATTCACAACTGATCTCGGCACATTTTGTAGAATTCTTTGTAATATTACAGGTCTCTGCGCATCTCGGGGTCAGGGTGTGAGGAGGCTTTATCATCAGGGTCATCGTCCGAGTGTGAGGATGCTCACGCGCATGTGCAGCAAGATTTCCCCATCGAGATCCTGCCTAACCTGTACCTTGGCAACTCAACTAACAGTGAGGACTGTGACGCGCTGGCCAGGCACAATATCAAGGTAACACATATTTGCCATATGTTCTACGTTACTATCTTTATAGATAGAGGAGCAGATCATGTGATCTAATCACATTTCACGAAAATTGTAAAAATTACCTGAAATCCATAAAAGGGTCAATTTAATAAGACTATTATTAAATAATTTACGTTCATTACAACATTATATTAAAAAAGCAGCGTCAATATATACGATACATAGTTGCCAAAGGATACGGACAACCTTGTACGGGACTCCGGCCAAGGCCTTTAATATTGAAAAAACAATTTTACTATTCCATAGCTAAAGCTATGTAGAAACCAATAATATAGTTGATTTAGTATCAAAACAGTTATAAAAAAGATAAAAAAATGAAAAACGTCCTGTGTTTTGTAGTTATAATAACTTATCTTTTTTCTTCTTTTCTTATATTATATTTTTTTTATTTATTTATGTTCGTAGGTGATCCTACAAATATTAATAAAATGCTATCTAAATACTGAAATTGAATATAGGTATATATACTAAAGAAAACTAAACTAATGATGGTAACCCGCGTAAGCGAATGATTGACACGACATGAGATGACTGTTCCAAGTGTTACTACAGTATGAAAACAGGATTACCCAATAAATGTCTTGCGTTTTAAATCACAATTTATTAATAAAAATATTACATATTTATATTAATCTCATATAGTCATACGCCATAAATTAATATAAATATTTTATAAAGCTTTTTAAAGATATGTTCATTTGATACAACCATATTCTCACGAATAGTTATGTCATAATACAATAAAACGGGTATTGGGGCGTTTCGGCCAGTTTATGTTTCACCCCGCGGACCGAAACGCCTAAAGGCATCTTTTTCATTGGTATATTCGGTCCATTAATAGATGTTGTGTTTTCGATATGTCGAGTTTAAACGGAAATATTTTTCTTTATTTCGTTAAGTACATTCGAGTGACAATAATATTCCAGTCGATATAACCAATAATGTGCCGGAATCTTGGACGGCATGGATGGCGTAGTGGTTTAAGTGGTCGCCAACATGGGACGACATTTTGTGTGATCCACAAATTGTTGTTCGGAGTCTGGGTGTTCTTTGTGTCCCTTTTTATGTATGTTTGTAATGTCCCCAACGACTACTGATACGGCTTTGAAAATTCTTTAATTTTTAGAAAAATATATTATCCCTGAGATTTATGCACTACTTTTTAAGTGATAATCAATATAAAAGTGGTCGGCGCCGCGGACAAAAGCTAGTAATTAATCAATAAAACTTTTATTTGATTAACATATAATACAATTGCATTGCCCTAATTTTTGTACCCAACTGTATTTAAATATTTTATCGGGACGAATCCACCTATGAAAATAAAAGCCTTGGGCGTTCCGGCCCGCTTGACGAAAAGACCAATCCTAAAGGCCCTAATAGGCGCTTCAGTCCGCGGGCCGAAACAGGAGCGGACCGAAACGCCCCAAAACCCAATAAATGTATTTCTTTTAATATCTGTATTTTAATTTATTTACAAAATTGCTATCCGTCTTATGGCCGCATTCTGTTGGTCTCCTTTAATTTCTATCTGTTGAATGGGACTGCGTTTTATGATGGTGAAACTTTGGCCATTGCCACAAATTTAAAATTGTTAACTTTTTACTTTATGTAGTGCCGTATTATGTAGAAGGTGAACTAACTAAAAGACTATTTATCAAACATGAGATACATTTTTAGTTATTTTTTTAATATTTTCTCCTTTGTATCTGGTTTGATAGTGATTTTCGAATTATTTTTGACATACCTTTTGTATAGGTACCTATTTGTTATATGTATCTTGTCCCTGTAGAATTTTATTGTCTATGGCATAGTTTGCTAAAGTGATATTGGCTATAAATTTGTTTATTTTTTCAGTATGTGTTGAACGTAACCCCAGACTTGCCCAACACGTTTGAAGCTGATGGCTGCGGAATCAACTATCTGAAGATCCCCATTGCGGATCACTGGAGTCAAAACCTAGCCGTTCATTTTCCACAGGCCATAAGATTTATCGGTAAATTGATTACATATTACAATAATTAAAATCTATGAAAATTGAAATATATTTTGTAAGAGGATTGAATACATGCGTAATGAAACGTTATAAACACTTCATCTGGTCGGCATCTCCATTACTACGGTAGTTGAAGCGCATAATTAAAGTATGAGTCAGCGGAGGGTTTTACGTTCTTCTTAAGTTCACTAGTGATATAATATGTTTCACTAGTCAGAGGGACAGTCATGTAACCACAAAAGTTTTAAATAGATTTCCTGTTACTTGTATCCGTTGTTGAATTTCAATTGCACAACATGGAGAGATGTGGATGATTGTGTCATGTATAGTTTAAAGTCGAGGAGAAAAGTTGAGGTGTGGGTTGTGGTCGCAGAGGAGGCGATGTCGGCGCGCTGCGGCGTGCTGGTGCACTGCGTGGCGGGCGTGTCGCGCTCCGTGACGGTGACGCTGGCCTACCTGATGCAGCGCCACCGCCTCAGCCTGCGCGACGCCTTCGAGCTGGTGCGCAGCCGCAAGACGGACATCGCGCCCAACTTCCACTTCATGCGCCAGCTGCACTCGTTCGAGCGCGACCTGGGCCTGCACGAGCACAGCGCCAGTCTGAGTAAGGTCCGCACCGCACCGGCCGTGGACGCTTGACGCATGAGTAGCGCCCTCCCGCCCTACAGCGCAGTTGTGTGCAGGTGCTGCAGCAGCTGGGCGTGCGTGAGGCGCCGGGCGCGGCGGCCGACTGCGGCTGCGCGCCGGCGGGCGGCGTGTCGCCCGACTCGGGCATCGAGTTCGACCGCTGGAGCGCGGCTCGCGACACGCCGCAATGACAGTTCTTCACGCCGCCGCACTCGCGCCCCGACGCCTAGTGCCCCGGCTCGCCCCGCTCGAGCCGCTCTCGCCCCGCTCGTCTCGCTCGTCCCGCTCGTCCCGCTCGTCCCGCTCGCCGCCCGTGATCCCTCTCGTTCGTCACTCGCAAGTGAGTTGAGTTAGTGTCCGAGATACTTTGTACCTATTCATTAAGTCAATTTTTTGTAAGTTCTATATAATACTGTATGTGGATGTCCGACCTAAAATGCATTCCCGTTACATCTTATATGACATATTTTCATTACGCTGTGCGTTTTGTGTTACGTACAGACGCGTCGTATGGTCTGTGAACATAACCTCAGTGTGGTCGATGCGGTATGCGTGGTAAACTGTGTTATATCACCAGTACCATAGCGATCAGTCAATGCTGTACATAATACAAGATATTATTATATGTTAAGATTGGATGGATATATGATAGTTTCAGTCATATTTTTATGTTAAGTATAAATATATTTCTTCTAAGAAAATTGTAGACACGGGGCTTCTGATAATTCTTCCATTGTTGTTGATATATGTATACTGTATTTGTATGAGAGTGTGTGCGCGAACGTGCGTGTGATACTAAGATTAATCGTAACTATTGTCATATATATACTATATTTACATTACAAGAACCACGCTGATCACTCCGCCATGTCTCGAGGCAATGTCTCGCTCTTGGCGAGCTAAGTCGCGACACAGTCTGGGTTTTTTTATACTACGAATGTTAAATAAATATTTTATACGGTATAAAATGAAAACCTATTTCCATTTATTTTTCTATTGGTTTACTACAATCTGGTAAAGTCTAATAGCAGTCAAGAGTAAAATATTGAATATATTTTAGAGTTCAGAAACAATGAGTGTGGGATCTATTTATATAAACTTCGTAACAAATATGACTAAGGTGTCGATATGGATATTTTTATATGGATTATAATACACAATGTATGTATGTACTATACTTAGATAGATGCATATTAAATATGCCAAAAAACAGTTTAGGTCCCGATTTTTTTTACAAACACTGTTTTTTTTTTATAATTGCATTTGTGAGTATATATGAAATACATACTACACCGTCACTTCACTCACAATTTTCACTGTTGTAAAATTAGTAACTTCATATGTTGTTTATTATGAATGAATGACGCCAAACCAATCAAGTGTATATTGTATGACGTAGATGTCGATTTTAGATGTATTAAGAACTATACTTTGAATGCCATGAAACATGAGTGCTTGTAAGTGAATTCGGCGTGGGCCGTACACACAAATCCTCCGCCTCGCAGTTAGGCAAAGACAGTGAATTCGTGATATTTAATTTTATTAACTATATTCAAATTTCCATTGGCATTTATCATTTACTTACTTAATCATAATTATATATTTTTCTATATGTTGCATAGTTTCATGAGTTAACTTTTAGTGTGTAAATAAATGGCAAGCTTTAAAATTAAGTATGTTAATTATGATAATGAGAATCTAGAGAAATTGTTACAATGTAAATTTGTTATAGATTTAAGACTTAATTGAGATTCTGCTTCCTTAACAATGAATGCCAATATATTGTTATGTAGGTTTGGAACGCGAAACCAAATTAACGAGTTTTATTACTTTCATTTTGTATTAGTGAATTAATTATAAATATATTATTTTTGTAGACTCACTATCTTCCACGGTAAGTATTGTTAATAGAACAAATATCCCCACAAGTTTGAGCGAAGTTGTAATTTTAAGTCACATTCCTAACTAGTGAAGTGGAAGATTATGCCAAAGTTCACTGTCATTTAAATTACGCCACAAAACAAAATATCCACCGTTAAAAACTAATAATATTGTACTTTAGTGTAAAACATACAATTTTTAGTTGTTTGGTACAAACCGCCTTTACATTCTGAATGTTTCTAATTGCACTATGTATTGTAAAGTTTTATATTTCTAGATATAACGTAATTATGTAATTGTAGTGCACAAGCTAATGTCTGGCCACGACGACGACGCCGTTATGTAGATCGTAGATGGAACGTAAACATTGTGTAAATGATATTGTGACATTTCTGTAATGGTATGTAACACGCGTTCACCATCATGTTGATAATGTTTTAGAAATCTTTTAGTGCTTTTCCTAAAGGTACCTAAAGCCACGTGGCACACGTAATATTAACCTCAAAACAAATATAAACACTGTTAATCTATTATGACGTTTTTTTTTATTTTTCCTTAAATTTTGAATGGGTTCTAAACAACTCTTCTGAGCCTTTTTCAAAAACTAGGGTTGGGGTCGGTTTTAAGTCTATGCGGCTAAACTTCGATTTTTTACGTGGAGCGATTGTTGTGATTATGACGAGCGTCGCCGACGGCTCTCCGGGGCACGCGTTCGAAACAATAACAAAACAGTCTCTACAACATGTTAACAACAATGAACAAGCATATACATAGCAAATGTAATTTTTTCACGTTGAATTTATAGCATACAGACGAAAAAGCACAGCCCATTTAAATACTGGCATAAATTCTATTTATTTTTAAATATATTTTTCTCCCGCAAGCCCTGTTCACAAGGTCAGGATTAGCTAAGTAGATTACAAGAAAACTATCATCTTTCCTGTAAATAACGGTGTTATGAAAGGTAAAATGTACCTAATTGTTACTGCTCTATAGCCGTCCTTAGCGCCCTGTCAAAAATCTCATTAGCAAAACAAGAAGTTCTTATTAACAAGAATTTCGCTTATATTTCAATGTGCTTTCCTCTAAACAACTCGAGCTCTTTCTAAGGAGAGGTCTATGTCTAGCAGTGGACTGTTAAAGGATGATGATTGATGAACTCAACTGCCGTATCTCGTCAACTAACGACGCGATCCATAATCTACTGTGTTTTGTAACAGGAAACCTAAACGTTAATATGTAGGTACTACAATGCCTTAACTATATTCTTGTAAATCGGACCTAGTACTAGCTTCTCCCTCTAGACCACATCCAAAGGAGAAAGATTCGAATCGTCGATTTTCTTTCAGATCGGCTTGATCAGTTAGGACATTAAAGAATTGAGGGACCTAGATATACCGCGCCGTAGATTTGTAATGCCATATTCTACATATTTAGGAATATCTAAAATCTTTAAGAAAATCTTAACTAAATTCTTAAATAAAAATGGTTGCTGCAGAGATAGTACTTTCTGAGATTCTCCTGAATGTCTTAACAGTCTGCAAAACACGAATTTATCTCAAGGAATACATAAATACGAGATTATTCTATTTTTCCTTAAATACCTCTGTGAATTAGTAAAATAGAAATAATGACTTGAAAGTTATTAGTTAAAAAGTAAATAAAAGTCGAACTTTACCAAGATGTCTGAACTTAGCCCAATTTTTTCGTCTTTATTGACTAAGCTCAAGCTCATCGATAAACGCTAATTGGAATAAGTTTTTTTACTAATTTTTATTATTAAAATGTTACATTTTATCGATTCTTTAAATGCCATACGTTAAGAGAAAATTGTTTTTAAATTGTCTGTAGGAGATTTTTTTTGGACTGATAACTGTGTACCCTCATACACGCTTAGCCACGTTTATATCTCAAAAACTAGAGCACCTAACGAAGATCTGTTTTCATTTAAATTTAGTCGCTAATTAGTCGAAATTAGTCGCCAAGTATCAGAACATGTCGGTCACTGGTTCAAAAGTTAGGTGGCACTGCTGGGGATAAGCGCCTCAGCTTGGACACGTTCATATCTCAAAAAGTAGAGCACCTAGCGAAGATCTGTTTTCGCCCAAATTTAGTCGCTAATTTGTCAGAATTTTTCTTAGCTTAGGAGATATAATGACCTCAATTTTTAAGGTACCTACCTTAAAAATTGAGGTCATTATATCTCCTACCTAGACCTAGATCGCAAAGTTTACGAAAAATTATATTATGTATATGTACCTACTTCTAGTTTGAAGTCCTTAGAAATGTCAGAGAGAGATAAATTCTTAATTAAATACATGTTTTTATGTTTTAAATTACTAGGTCAGTTTGTAAATTTATTTATTACAAAAAAAATGGAAATGACAAAATACACTAACCAAACAAAAACAAAGATTATAATGTTAAGCTCTAATTTACCGGATAATATTATGAGCATTTGACTTTTATTAAGGTTGGAATAATAAAACTTTTGTTTTGAATTATTCTAAAATTAGTGTACTTAAAGTTAAATGTTAGAAATACCTACTTAATGAAAGGTACGTGGATACCAATGAGGTGTATATTACATCGCAATAAAAATCACATTAATGTATCTTCTTTGGACGACCCTGCCCGAACTAAACCAATGCCTATCAGGCACCGACAGCTACAATCTTAATTTCGTCAGCGACACGACTGCGACCTAATATAATGCTATAAATATAATATAAAATAAAAAGTTTAATATACAGGGTGTCCCAGAAAGAATGGATAATCCTGGAGCGCTTAATAGTACAGCTATCTGGAGTACAAAAAAAATACCCAAAAAAAACCATTTGGTGCCCAAATAATGAAGTTTAAAAAAAAATACTTTTTTGTTGTCCTTACTGTACTTACATGTACACCACGGCCGCAAATTAATGAAATTTGTTGCGTGTTAGGCGTTATCTTATTCCTCACAGACAATCTTATTAGAAATGCAGTAAATAGTATGAGTAATTATTGTACTTTTTTTGAAAAAAAATATATACTTAAATTTTTAACATGAAATTTGATCAAAAAAATAATTATGACAAAGTTTGAGAACCTTTTGTTTTTTTTTTTATGAAAACCTAAGTGGCCAACTATTTAAAAAAAATGCGCAGTTAATGCAGTTTATGGATAGGATTATCCATTCTTTCTGGGACATCCTGTATATAAAAACTAGAAATATATAATGATCATTTGATATACTTCTAGTCTATTTAGTAAAATATAATGATATGTTTATGTTACTGTTAATTGTCCCTCACCATGTTATTATTATTATTTTTTAGTTTTATTTCTAGCTAAAATAAATATATAAATAATAATAAATGGGTGTGCATTTACTTGCTAAGGTACGAAGATTGTCCCTAAATAGGCTACTTAAAAAACCCTTATTACTTTTGAACTAGTAACCGACATGTTCAGATATTTTGCGACCGATTTCCACAAATTAGCGACTAAATTTGGGAGAAAACATTTCTTCGCTAGTTGCCCTTTTTGAGATACAAGCGTGGCCAAGCTGGGGAGACTGACCCAAGCAGGGCCTTATAACTTTTGAACCAGTGACCGACAAATTCTGATGCTATCATCTTCTTCTGCTTCTGATGTTATCAAAATTAAACCCATGATGGTGTCCAAGCCAGTGTCAGTGATACGGCCCTGATATAGTACTTTCTGAGATTTAGGCTTTGCCACTTTATGCAAGCGTCTGGATTGAGGGCCCAAGTTATTTAATCCTAACAGTTTTAATTCGTGTATAAGAAATTCATGGCCCTTTGCTCCAAGTTTGTACTATTTTTTAATAATTTCTCTATAAATCTTATTTCGTTTCTCAAAGATTTCCAAAATGGGCCCTAGGATCCACATCCACACCTTGGTGTTGCGTAGAAATGTAGTTATAAATTCCCAATCACTCGTATTATAGCGGGTTCTCCAAGTAATTGTTCCGACTTCAATCGCAGCAACTTTCCATCCCATCACTTGGATAACGTCCACTCGTCCTTTTCAAGAATCTTTGCCTCGCAAACTAATATGTAGAACAAACTATGACCAGAGGTATTTTCACCATCGAGAGACCTGAAAGACAATTCTCGTAATAAAAGTTCGGCCTCAATTCAGCTCCGATCAACTTTCCATCTCACAACTGTCATAAGAGCTATTCTCGTAGTAAATTATTAAACATCCAACGTTGACTGTAATGTAATTATATCGTATTGAAACCGAAAATTGAATCGGTAATCTACTAGTCTTAGTAATACTCGTACTTTAATATTTTACTACGAAAATATCTTAAATGGCAGTTGTGATATCGAAACTTGATCGGGACTGAATTGTAACCGAATTTTCATTACGAGAATTTACTTAAATCTTTGAACTATTATAAAATAATCTTTCAAAAAAAATAAAGGCAGTCATTAGGACTGCCGAAAGAAGTGAAATTAAAAACAATGGAAGTACGCGTCGCTAGTCTGGCGCAATACGTCACGAGCATGTCGAGGTCATCGGCGACGCGAACCCGTAAGTTTAGAGAAGTTTACACTACAAAAAGCTTACACATTACATCTTCAGAACATTATACGGTACGTAGCCAATCCCTGTATCAGCGAAATTTGAACCATTAAGAAAGAACTTGAGATAGGTCTTTGTTACCACGCTCCGGCAAATACGCGTGCGATACAACGTCATATACGGTGTTGTGACTTGACTTTAGTTTATAGAACACAAGAAGTCGGCTGGGGACATTTTTTATCAAAACTTAAATAGAAAATATTGTGCCAAAGCGTTTAAACTAAAAAATAAAGGTTGTGTTATTTTCTGTGTATTGTTACGAGCGGGGTATATAAAAGTTGTCGGTTAATTATTTTTATTGCACTGTATTTACTCACACTCACTATAACAAACAAGAAATCACTATATTACTCGTTGGTCGCACTAGATTAGCTTTTCGATGTTAATTGTGGCTGTGTCGTAAAACGATAATCTCTCGAACGGCCAACACGCTTCGCTTTTATAGCGCTATCGAATTTACTAGAAAGATCCATAGTTTTTGATAGTCCGTTCCAGACAAATAAGAATATTCCAGTATCGGTTAAGCGTTACTGGAATATTTGGATCAGAATTATTAACCACAATCTTAATAGTTTACTGTACTTTTCAATTCAATTTACTACACATTTCAATTCTGGAACAATCGAAACATTTAATCCTATTTATTGAAATTGTCAACCGATTTTATTGAACCATAGTTACTGTAGCTTTGTCTTAATTTAACGAGTTTTACTGGGCACTTAAATTGAAATAACTATTTTTTTCTTTCTACGTTTAAGTATTGTCGATGAGTGATGCGAGTGCTCGCTTTAAACAAGCCATACAAAAGCTTCTACAGCTTGTGAGGAGCTTCGTGTCTCCGTTCTTGTCCGTCAGTCGTGTGTAGTATAACTATACACAAGTAGTGTAAGTATGTATAAGTATTGGTAAGTCTTTATGGATGTAAAAAACTTGAGGCGGCCAATTCACGGATCCATTTCCTCCTCTTTAATCTATCCCTTTTAGGGCGACATAAATCTGTTTTAACTTCACAAAATGTTAGAGACTTATCCAGCTATTGATGCTTGTGAATGTTTAATAAGTTTATTAATACTTAAATATTAATATAATATCAATCAATGGAATGAAACAACTCATAATAATTGTTACTTTATTTATTTTTCAATAGAAGGAAGTACAATAGCTACCGTTAATAACAAGTATAGTTACTTTGCATATAATAATCATTCAAATTATTTTTTAAATATTAATCGTGATATTCATGTTGACATCTTCAAGTGTAGTTATATACAGTAGAGCTATTAAATCATAAAAAATCCTTTCTAAAATTAATCTCAATCTTTCGCTAATTGACTATCGTTGGGTGAATACTGGGAATCTACATCATTTAATTCCCAAGAACTAATCTAACTCTACCCCAAGTAGGCCTTCCGTCTTCCGCCTCGTCGAACACTTCATACCATATTGATGAATAAACATTTACATATACAAACAGGTATACAAAAACCTTAATATAATCACAAGGATTCCACTAGCTACATATGTACAATAATTGGTGCTATGAAATGTATACGATCATAACAAAATACTCAGTTTAGGCAGCAATCAAGTCCCGATTCGAACCTGTCATGTGAAATGGAGTGGAAACAAACTACTTGTATACGGTCACCGAGTGTTGCGACCGAGCACTATTGTAGTTGCCACTAAACAAGAACTGAACCGCTGACACCGCGGTTGTCACATTGGACTATAAAATTTCTTGGCACAACGTGTGCTTAACTAAATACGTACTTATATACTTTATAAATTGTATTAACAATAGTCTTCACAATATCATATTGCTTTTAGTTAAAATTCTAATTGAAACAACAGGTCAAGTATTGAAACAATATTGAAAATATAACAGCCGCTATAGCGGTACACAGTTACATATATGTGTAGGAATGTTTTAACATACATATAAATATAGTAAAGAAACTTGTGTTCTTTGGAATGTAACGAAGTTTCAAATTTATTTATTGAATGAAAATAGATACGAACTTCATGGCGCTAAAATTTGGTGGATATGTAATATTACTTCTAAGGTACACGTTAAGGCACCCTCCGATGTCGATTCTATATTGGTCCTCCCTGAGAATAAAACATTTTATCATAATACAAACGGCAGAAATGCATTATCCAACATACTCATACAATGGCACAATACTTTATTTTTCATTGGATGTGCCGCTGAAAATACCACGAATATTAAAAATATGAACCAATTGGTGTATATAATATTGTTGGATTTGATAATATGCAAGGCGAATCTCTTATTTTCAATTTAATAGTTTATAATTTAGATCAATAGTAATATCATTGCACTAACTGCTAAAGCACATTGCTTTTTTAAATATTCTAAATTTCATAATCTTAATATATATTTCGAAAAATCTTATTTTCTATATTTGACATACAAAATTGGTTCAATGCTTTGTTACAAGGCAAATCGTGGACCTCGAACACGGCACGTAAAAAAACTTTCAGTTCGATTAAATAGGAATTATACTTCTATAACAAAATGTTATTTCTACGTTTCAAAGTGTAAGCAAAAATAATGTTAATAACTGTTGAGTGTTATCGGTAGCACTACCGCTTATACCTCTACCAGACTAGCAAATTATGGGTTATTATGTGTTTTAGCTGCTCTTAAGCTGCAAGGTAATGTATCGGCATTCATATGACTGTTGATTATACATTATTATTGCTTTCACTCTGTAGTGAATATAAATGTGTTGATATAATACTGTAATATAAGATGTAACTACTAAAATACTTTAAAAGCATTTTAACGCAAGTCGTCATTTCTCTACGCACATAATTTTATAGACGAGTCGTACGTATTACAAGTACAATTTATATCGGTCAACGTGCTAATTAATGCACTGCATCAATGTCTCGCTGCGCGCGCGATATTTTAACCTGCAAGTAAAATTTAGAAATTATCGTCAGGTACGAGTCAATTTGGAAATAGGATGCAATAAATGTATGATAAGTATAAGTTCGCCCCGTCTCTGTGAATAACGAACGTTCAGCGATGTCAAGCGTCAGTCCGCCGCCGAGCGTGGTTAGGCTAATGAGTGGTAGTGACCTTATCCTTGGGCGTGGAGGCCTCGCCCGACTCCAGCGCGAACATCTTCATCTTCTCCTTGAACGAGAGCTGCTCCGGCACCGGCGCGCTCGGCGCCCGCGCCTGCTGCTCCGCCAGGCGCCGCGTACGAGGGTCCCTGCGGGGTTCGCTCATTAGGCACGGCTGTACAGTTGGCTAACGGTAGTTACATGCGTGAGTATGGACGAGCGGGACACCTACCGGTACACCTCTTGAGCGCCGATGACGCCGGGCGTGTGCGTGAGCGGCGAGGACGTGGAGGGCGCGGGCGGCGTGAGGGGGCCAGCCAACATATTCTCCGCCTCTTCTATGAACCGCTGTGATAAACAAGGTTTAGAATTAGTGTCAAAAACTCCATTTTAGGAAAATTCGTATGAGTACAATGTATCTGTCTGTCTCTATAGGTACATTATTTTAGTTTCTGCTTCTCGCACAGAAACATTTTTTATATAAATATAAAAACTATAATATCGAAGGACATTTTGCACATAATATATACATTTCGCTAGTGCAACATTAAAGCATATTTTATTTATATTATAACGGGTGTTATAATACATATCCCAAAAAATGAAATAACAGATAACACGGTTAATATACGTCGGTTAAAATAAAAAATAAAAAAATTAGTACGAAAATACAGAAATGCAAATTTAGAACAAACTAAATACAATAAAATAATTTCCGAATTAGAACACCATTGATAACATGAGACGGTGAACTGTACACGTCAGCGTCGCAATGTCGGCGACATCAAAGCGACGCCGCCGCCGCCGCCGCGACAAGCTGGCGAACTTTACATTCTTAGTACCTACCTACTAATCACTTCACTTGCTTTTTTAAATGTATTTATTAAGAATACGATTTTATTCACGTGTTTATTTTGGGAATGCTCGACTAGCTTCGGACCCGGCAGTACGTGTCACTCCTTGAAAAAGTAGGTACTTTGGTTGTCTCGTAATCTTTGTACCACCCTTACAAAAATTCGGCAGTCTGTAGGACATACACGATTGACTCCATACCTATCCGTAAAGCAAAAGATGCGTTTTGATAGTTTCCCATAAATTAACATCATGGCAGGATATTCCGCGGCTGTGAAGGTCACTCACGGCATTATGGATGTTGATACCGATAACCCAATAAAATTAAAAGACTGATAATTCACTCAGTTTCACACTACACTACACACAAAACCTAATATTGTCACTTTTCAAAATAAAATTAGCAGGACTCGTTACATTACGAAGTCTTGCGCACACAATAACATTAATTGTTCAAACCATTGCCGTGTATTATGACGAAAGCAATAAGACTAAACAATTATTACCACAAGAAAACTTTTCTAAACAAATATGTATCTCATGAACAACAACAATATTATTATTACGGTTATTTGTCGTGAGCGCATCTACAAGGATACAGAATACCATAACACTCGCCGGTGGCCAAGGGCCGACTGACTGTCCTTACTGGATGAACTATTTAAAAACGCGTGTCCTTCATCGTGATGACGCAATAATCAACATATTTCGTTCGATTCGAGAGTAGTAAAAGTGGCAACGTGTGATTACCGCGCCGCGTATACAGCTGACCGCCGCCTGACGTCAATGTATTATGACTGCATGTACACATGATGTTGCAAATTACGAAAACAAAAAAAAAAATGTCCTGTTTCTAAACCACTGAATATTTTTTGTTCATATTTTGCAAATCGTCTAGAAATAAAGTTAAGGGACACGCGGTATAATCTCTTAAAATCGCGAAGCGCAAAATACGCTCGAATATGCGTAATGGCCGAACTAACATTATAGGTCTATGATTCGACAATGTCAAAGGATGACTAGGACGAGACGTCTTAGTATTTTGTACAAGAATGTTCAGAACCTTGGTTTTGATAATTATTAAAAACATACGGAGGTCCAAGTGTAAGTTTGTTTCACATCTGCTTGATCGTCACGGTGACCGCGTTCGACGCTGCGATTGGCCCGCACTGAAATATTGACTAATCGCACCGCCGAACGCGCTCGCTCTCGAGAGCAAGTTAATGTGCACTAAGCCCTCTGATTAAATTTTTCGTGTTTAATTCTTGCTTTAAAACTGACAAGTTAAACTTTAAAATTGATCTGCTGTCCGGAAATGTCGCATATATGTATGAAAAAAAAAAGAGTAAATATGCCAATTTTTTAAAATATAGTGGTACTTACATCGGGATCCTCCCTGGGTGGGGGAGGCTCGTGCAGCGGGGGCGGCGAGCTGCTGGGCGGGGCGGGGGGCGCGGGCGGGGCGGCGCGCTCGTGGAACGACACGCGCTTGTCGCGCAGCGTGCTCACCGGGGACCTGACACATACGTAAGTTCACGTTACATTTACATAAAGGCAAATAGAAACAGATGTTAACGCCCATCACAAAGTACTACGTTGTTACTAAATAATAAATTACGAAGTTCGTCATCATCATGATCATCATCATCATCATCATCATCAACAGCCTTTTCTAGCTTTGGTTTTGGCCTACTATACCACGCTGGCCAAACGGGTTGATATAGGGTTTGTTTCAAGTTTTCTTTCTCTTTGCAGTGCTGTTGTACTTACTCCCTTAGTCGGCTCTTATGACACCCACGGGATGTATAGGGGTGGTCACACTATGTATTCTTAATCCGTCACCACAAGGATAACGAAACGTAATTACAGAGTTGAAAATATAAAACCATTCTTAGCAAAAAGCAATCATAATAAGATTGTTGTTGAAGTTGTAAATTGTGATTATGTCAACAATACGTCATTAATATAAACAAACTAATAAGCATATAGTTCATCGGTTGACGGCGTAATAATGGAGTTAAATATATATTTAGAAACTATGGATTGTCAGTTTCTTGTTAGGGGCCATTCATCTATTATTTCATTCTTTAAGGGGTAGGACTCAACAAGGAATTGTGAACACTACACGATCAAGGGAGAAAGTGTGGGTAATAAGGTTTAGGATTACAATTTAAACTAACAGACAAACACTTGCTCCAATTTAAAAAATATATCTATAAAATGAAAAGATTAAATATTAAAAAAAAAGAGAAAAAAATACAACATCCTTAATGACAGCCTATGAATTTACCCATTGTGTACTACAGTGATATTTCAGGTCTCTTAACTTTTTTAATTAGTATTACTCGTTATAAATAACCAGTCAAGTGCGTGGCTAACCACGGCCAATAACGTCGAATTTGTTTGTCGACTATTACTCGTAACCAAAAAACCAGCCTACTTAGTTGTGATAGTTTTCCACTGAAATTCGATATATATATTCTACTACCGTTAAATTTTCTGATCTTTAAATACTGTCGTTGGGCTAGGAGGGGGGAGAGAGGACGAAAATACTTGACTATAACAAAAATCAGCGCTCAAAATGTCTTCATAAACCCTTTTTATTTCTAAAAGATCTATCCAATGACACCTCACATCATGGAATGGATGAAAATAAAAATAACATTACCATTTTAAAGGCACTAGAGGCATCCTAAAAAAATATTTTTTTAAATTTTATTATATCACTTCGTCATAGTGATCGGTACGTATGTTCATGAGAAATTACAGGTAGATAAAGTAAGATATGTGTACACCGGAGATAAACAAACGAGTCAACGAAAAGGAAAGTGTTATACTGACTGTGGCGCGATGCCGTGCTGCACGTGCGCGTCGGGCGCGCGGTGCGGCGACAGCGTGCGCGCGCGCTCCGCCATCACCGCGAACGACGAGCCGCGCGCCGGCGGCGCGGGCGCGCCCGGCCCCGCCGGCCCCACCGCCCCCCCCACCGGCCCCACCGACAGCGCGCCCATGCCGGCGCTCACGTCCGACACACGGCTCTCCTCGTACGTCACCTGCTGCCAGACATTTCACTTTTATTATTGTTCTGCTGTCTCAGCGTTCCGATAACGAATTTAATTGAAAAAAATAACATCAGTATTCAAGGGAGCCCAGCGATGCTCCTCCTCTCCGAAATCCACCGTTTTTACTCACCGTTTCACTAGAATATCCATTGGTGATTTCCGTTCTGGTATTAGTCTTGAGTATCGACTTAGGGGGATGCGGATGTGGCTGCGCCACATGTGCGAGCGGTGCGGGAGATTGGGGCGGAGGTGATGCAGCGCTGACGACCGAGTGAGCGGAGTCTTCCATGTCTTCCTCCATATCTTCGGAACCCTCGGCTGCGTTATTTTCCTCCTAATGTTAGAAATTAATACATACTCTGTTTTATATTGTGCAATAAACCCGACCGAAACCGTAGACTAATGCCTCGTACACACCCATAACTATAACTGTACACCAGGATCAACAACAGTGATCTATAAACACACTACAGTTATGTCACTCGGGAAATATTTTTCAAAATATTCACGGCGTCACGCTATTATTTATACTTTATAGGTTTTTTCTTTTCAAACCATTTGCTACTACTTGACCCACCTAAATTAGTTTAAACAAATACCGGTGCAATGATATCGCATATGAAACATATTATATAGTGTTGGAAGTTACATTCAACATTGGAACGAAGTTCCTTATCGCGCGTTGTGAAAGGGGGCTAGACGGAAAAAAATCTCACGAAAAGTTGTAACGACACTTTTTATTGGGAATTGTCACTTGTCAGTCATTCAACGCCATCTATCGAACAGATAGGAAATCATTACTTTTCATCTCAGTAAAAATAAATTTATGTTCTTAGGTTGAGCAAAAAATATTGTACTCGACATCATTTATCAAGGAGATTTTACCAATGAATAAATTGTTTTAATTAGAAACCAACTGAAAAATATGTAGGTAATGGCCGCTTTCATAGATGGCGTTGTAATTAAAATCGTGTCGAATCAGTTTTACTCGATCGTCACAACTTCGTTTCTATCGGGTGTCCCACGACACCACACGGCTTTTTTTGAATGAAATAATAATTTACATAAATGTGGCTTCAATTCAGCTATATGTAAAGCAAAAAAAAGAGATTAAATATTTTTATGTTTGTTTGTTCTCATGTATAATCAATTGTAGGACTAACCTGATCGTGCTGAGCGCGTAACTCGAAGTCTCGCTCTAGTTGCAAGGAACGAAGCTGTTGATTTTGTACTGGAGTTCTTGAAGCACCCAATGAAACTAGTTGCGCTATCGCTGCGTCCCTTTAATAGAAATCGACGATACTGTCACATACATATATGTACCTATACATGCTTCTTTTTATTATTTAGGGGGCAAACGAGAAGCCGATTCACCTCACCCCTTTCCATCGAAAGGGACTACCGCTTTCAGGTTTTCAAGGTCGTATCGGTCCAAAAATATCGCAGGCTACAATTCGTTTCACAGATAGTCATGCGAGGCAAAAAGTTTCTCGAGAAGCGCACAGCGGGGTGGCAATTTCATTTTTTAATAAAGTAGCGGGAACGTCGACTAAGCAGACTCGTTTTCATAAGGTTATAAAAATACAGTGCGGGCATCGTAGGATATATAACAATAAATGAATGATTAAGCCGGTCGATACCTCCTAGCGCGGGCGGCTGCGCGCCGCGCCTCGGCCTGGCGCTCCCGCTCCTCGCGCTGCCAGGGGTTGTGGGGCGCCGCGCCCCCCGCCCCGGACGCCGCCCCGCCCGCCCCACCCGCCGGGTACACCGACACCGCGGGCGGCTCCAGGGCGCTGGCTACGTAGCGTTCTGGAAAATAATTATAGCTAAATCTAAAGACATCACAATTAACATTCGTTACTATGGACGTTTATGATATTGATGACAATTAGCTAAAAGTTTTCGTGTCTTTAACAAAAATATATTGGTGTACGATAATAAATAGAGCCTTGTCCACTGATATAGTTAAGTAGAGAGATAGGTTTGAGTCATAGAACCCATTTTGGTGAACACATAATTTGTAATATCGGTAAGCAATATATAGACCGATCATAAACGTAAAATATAAAACCTCGTTCACTAGAAAGTCACTCTGCGACGTATACTTACCATCTTCAGGTTGTATAGAACCGGCCGACGGTTGCTGAGGTTGGGGGTGCGAATGTTGCTGTTGATCCTCTGAGTCCACGTCTATTCGTCTTGTGCCCTGCGATTAGGAATTTAATGAATCTACTTGTATATTAAGTTTCTTTGTTTTTAATATTATGGTTAAGAAATTGAATTGCATGTCATTGTTTGTGTAATGCAGCACGTGTAATCGTCAAACTTACTTGTGGTTTCGGAGCAACGGGCGGTTGTGATCTTTGCGGTGATGGAGGACCGGGCGGTAACCATTCGTACCTAAGAATAATCAAACCATAAATTAATATTCACTGATTTATGATGGTACAACATTTTATTTTTTAATGTATTAAAGGCAATACAGTTAATACAAGAAATAACGAATATGATCGCTCGCTTAATATTTGAGCCATAACTTAATATCCTCACATTAATGTGTTTACGTTAATTTATATTTTTGAAACAAGTTCTGTTTTTTAACTGTAAAAATGTTGTATTTGATCGTAACACAACTTGCTAAAAAAGTTCATCATACAATAGATTTTGTATACGTAAATCATCCCAGCAGACATAGGGTAAGGTTCTGAATAAACTAAAAATGGAGGTAGTGGTGCTAAATCTGTTGTTCGAAAACTCTCTAAACTTAACTAAAAATCACTAAAAAAAATTTGTCCTGTCAAATATTACGTTTTCAGAATAGGAAACAGAACACGTTGTTTGACAGAACTAAACAAATTTGTAGTGATTTTTAGTTTAGTTTAGAGAGTTTTCGAACAACAGAATCAGCACCAGTATTGGGCGTAATTCATTTTTTGGTAGTCATTTTTTTTTGTTTTAACTAATATAATAACAATTAAAAAATTATTAGATAAAATGTAAAAAATGAAGTTACACACCTTTGTGGCATATGTTGGTTGTGATATATTTGTTGTTGCGGGTGCATATGCTGCAGCATAGGAGACATGGGGGACGCGGAATGCTGCAGCGTGTGCTGCAGCTGCGGCGACTGCTGCTGGTAGTGCTGCGGCTGGCTCTGCTGCATATGTTGCTGTTGGCTCTGTTGTAAGTGTTGTTGTTGTTGGTTCTGCTGTAAGTGCTGTTGTTGGCTCTGCTGTAAATGTTGCGGCTGAGCCTGTTGCAAGTGTTGTGGCTGGGTCTGCTGCAGGTGCTGCGGCTGGGCCTGTTGTAAGTGCAGTGGTGGTTGACCTAGGACATACAAGCGGAGTATCATAATAAGTCGTTGGTGCAAGCTGTGCAAGTCACCGTGTATGTGAGTAGCATTAACAATAGCCTTGGTAGTAGACAACTAACAATAATATTTGTACAGAAAAAATATTCCTAAAGACAGATAGGTTTTACACATTTCTACATTAAAATTAAATGTTTATTGGTAAGTATATCACTTGAAAAGGTTGGATAGATAAAAAAATGGAATTTACGAAATAAATAAAAAAATAACTACCCGAAAAGGAAGTTGAATAGTACAAGGACAATAATTTAAACAGGACATATTATTGTCGGGTTGGATAGACAAAGAACTTAGCAATTCAGGGAAGATTGTTACTCAATAGACATTTTAAATATCTACATAGAATAGTATATTGTCGGAAAGTATTCTGCTGTAGGTGAATGCTTCCAATATTCAATTATTCCTAATGCTGCAGAGACTTGCCAAGCAATTTATTACTTGGTTAATCGTTATGGACTAAAGAGGAAATTCAAAGAAATTATTGAAATAACATTAAAGTAGCGTGAGTTTCTTTTTAAAATCTCACTTGCTAAAGATATAATCTGTAAATAAATATCTTTTAACATTATTAATGAAGACACAAAAAAAATAACAAGTCGTTTCGAGGCAGTAGGGGCTATAATCCACTATATTATATTTCAGGAAAAAACGCTTGTAGTGAAATTTACAGGCTGTTTGAACTACTTAGTAGCCATGTTTTTTATATCAACGTCTGTCAACTGTCTTACGTTTTCCTATTTGTATTACCCAATTTTAGTTTATTTACTGTTTATATTAACAAAACAGTGCTGTCATCTACAACTAATAACTCCTCTAGAAGCGTAAGTAAGCCTAAAAATGGTTTGGGCGGGGCGTAATTAAGATGCACCAGCGCGGTGCATCAGTACGGCGTGACACTTGTGTTGAGCGCTTGTATCACGGGAAGTTTCGATTGTGCTTATTATTGTGTTATTGCGCTATTTAATTTGCAAATATGCCGTCATGTGTCGTGAAGTGGTATAGAAGAAGAAATAAACATTTTGTTATCCCATAATTAACGACTCTGGAAAGTGTTGTGCAACATGTAAGTTTATTTTTTCCATGCAGTATCCGTCTCATAATGCTCACATAAAACGTATTTGTTTTTAATATGAAGGATGATATTATGCAAAAGTAAAATATTAAGTAAAAGATTTTATTACCACAGATTCCCAACAAATAAAATCCAATGAGAAAAATGTGCCACAGCGAAGCTAGCTAGTTGTATATATTTATATTAGGTTTAGTTTATATTATTTTTATTTATGGTCTTTCACCTAGTTCGACAACGGAGGCTATCTCAGGTTTAATGTGTAACTTACTTAATGTGTAACTTAGTGTGTATGTTGAACAAATTGTATTTGTATTGGTACAATAAATATTGTTATTCTCTTCTCTCTCTCTTTAAGTAGTTATAGTTATGTATGTATGTATGTAATATTTGTTGGTATGTAAAAATATGTGTTTTATGTATATATATTTATCTAATTTTACCTCTTTAATATTCATTAGTAATTAACCTGTCAAAACTCATTGCACCTTCAACTACTGTTTCTTCGAAACACTTTGATCCATCCTAAGGTTGTCGCCTGCTTTTAGCAATAAGTCCGGCCTTTGTATATTACATGTCTGACATTTTTATGAACCATACTACTTGTAAAACGGTGTACAAATAAAGAGTTTTCTATCTATTTATCTATCTATGTCTTTCGTCAAAAACAATTTACTAATTACTGTTACAACTATCTGGTGAAGTAAAAGAGAGGCATTGAGTTTGTTTCTACCTTTTTTTTAACAGACCTCAATCGTTTGGAAACGGGCGGTTATAGACCGACACAGGCAGAAACGGTATAATGTTTAACAATTGACGAAGCAATTTACTGTTACAGTGACTTTGTACAGTGACAGTGACAGTAAAAAAAATATAAAATATTAGGACACGTGCGAGTTGGACTCCGTGTTTGGTTCCGCACAAATTTGTAGATACTTATTATAAATATAAATAGTTCAAGAATCGAGTCTCCCTTTTTTTTCCGAGCTTTCCCGAAATTCAGTTTCCAAAACCTATAATTACTTAAATTGTGTTCAATAAGTGAAATTGTTCCTCGATGATTGATTTCGTACTTTAAATAAAGACTGTTTTTTGTGATTAAATTACAAATGTATAGTTTTCAGATTTTTACCTGTACTTCTAGTATAAGACGATGTTACTTGCCAAATTTCATAGTTCTAGATCAACGAGAAGTACCCTATGAATTTTGATTCCTTTGAAATTGTCGAAATATGCGTTTTTTGCGGAATAAACAGCCGCATCTTTTTTTTAACGTTAACTTAGAAGTTGGATTTTTCACAGTTTTAAAGGGCTGTAGACCTGAGTATGTGGTTTTAATTTGAATTTGATACCTCCACGCGTTCTCGAGATAAAGGGTCAGATAGACAGACAGACTGACGGACGGACACAAAGGTGATATATTAAATTATGTATAAAACAAAGGTAAGCTTACCCATCATGTGCTGATGGAGGTCGGTTAATGGCATCTTGGGATGCATTTGATAGACCTGCTGCCGCCGAGATACTTCTTCCGACATCTCCGCGAGTTTAGCTGCGCGAGCGCTCATTGCATTCGAATGCTGTTCAGGAAAATCAACATTTTATAGTTACGTTTTCAATATCAGCTTGGTGGAAGTTTTGGTTTTTTAACATGTAATCGTCATCTGTCAAATGGAGGTGGCGGTATTTGAATAAAAGACTAAGCTACTTTTAATTTAAATGAATAAAGTTTTGTGTCCAAGATTTTTTTACATGATATAATTAAGAAATAGTATCGATGCTAAAAATGAAACCATACATTACAACGTAAAGTATCTGGTATCCAACAAAAAAGCCTGCTATTTTTGAAGAAAATCATGTTACACTGTGTACCTCTAAAACTCAGTCTGGTAACTCACTCAAACTCCAGTGGTCAATCGGTACTAACTTTTTTATCAGTTACATAAAAATGTAATTTAAGTCTGATAAAAATATTTAAAAAAAATCGTTTTAAATAAATTAAATGTAATATTTAAAGTATATGAGTTACATTGGAGTTGATGACCCTTTTAAAATTTTGTTACTAGTTTCACATTATATTGTTAGCTAAATTTTGTACTACATGTTTCGAATTAGAGCACGGCCGCCCAGTATTAATAATAATTTCTTCAACTAAAAAATAAATCAGTTAAGAAAGTATGTCAACGATTTATATTAAGGTACTATAGAGAAGGAGTGTTGTACCTGGTGATGCAGTGGGGAGTCTGGCGGTTCTGCCTGTCCCGCCGCAAAGTGTGCTGACTGCGGCCGGTTACTGCCCGTCGAGCTACGTAGAGATGACCACCTGAACATACACGTTTTATATTAGTTTCGAACAAATAACGTATTGAATTTATTTTGGAATTCTCATTTGTCATTCAATAAATCGTCCCCTCAACTTACCTGTCTTGTAATGCATGTTGTTGTGACTGGACCGAGGACAAATTCTGGTAAAAACCGTCGTGTTGCGAGGGCGCCGATAGGTTGTGGCTGCTCCGGGACTTGCTGGGCCAAGCGTTCGGGGAACCACTCGCTACCGTCGTACTCACAGCCGCACTAGCAATAACCGAATACCAAAAGATTTATTACACGTAGTTTATGATAATTTTGAACTTACGAATGGATAATGACAGCCATTTAATGGACTTTGTACCACCTTGCGTATCTCATGGTAGAGATTATTGTTTTATTTTTTCTGCTGGTAATATCATTAACAATTACAGTTTTAATTAATAGATTTTTAGATCTTTGCGTTCAACTTCAACTTTTGGTTAATGGCTTTGTGGTAGAGTGTAACCACAATTTCGCCAATGTCACGTAATCTTTGCGTTCAAAAGTCATTTAAGTTTGTAATGACAGCTGCCTGTCATAAATGAGTGTCAATAAGTTAACATAGATATCTTTCAAAATCAAAGGTTTATGACTTTTTTGATCTGTCAATATAAAATGATGCCCTGTCAAATCAGTTTAAGGGGTTAGGGGTAGTCAGAATTTTCAAAAAATCGATTTTTTTTTTTGCATTTTCTTAAAGTATAATATTTTAAAAACATTGTGTGAAAATTTGAAGTGAATCCGACAAATTCTTTTCGAGTTATTTAACAATGACCAAAGGACGCTCGGGTGCTACGTGGCATTACCTATTCTCACGATTATTCTCCCTTACCTTCTGATGTTTTAAAAGCTATCAAGCCTATATACGAAGATCTTAGTAATGAAAATTTACTTTCAAGATGTGTAGGTGGATTCAATCAGAATAATAATGAAAGCTTTAACCAACTAGTATGGAAAATATGCCCAAAAACGGTAAATACTAGTTATACTATCGTACAAATAGCTGCATACGTTGCTATGAGTATATTTAATGAGGGTATAAATTCATTATTAGTCTTGATGAATACACTAGGACTTAATTGTGGGCCTAATTCTCATCGGTATGCAGAAAGAATGGATGCTGCACGTATCAAAGTAGCAGATAAGCGCGCTAATGATAACACCCGAGAAGGTCGATTGCAACGTAGGCACCAGCAAATCGATATTTTGGAAGCTGCTATGACGGCTGAAGAGCTATTATATGGTCCAGGAATAGATGACTCAGTGTAAGTTATTAAATAATTCTTATAATTCGACATAAATCCATAGCAAAACTTTAAATGCGTTTTTCTCAAAACTATGTTTTCTGAACTGGTGATCACTGTAACTTAAAAACTGCTCGGTAGATTTCAATAAAATTTCTTGTACTTTTGAAATACATTAAAAACTCGTGCCTGATCGAAGGATTTCTTTTTTTTTTTTAAATTTCGATTTTTTTTAACAATAAACTGTCGGTTTTTTTCTCGAAAATTTGAAAAAAAAATCCTGAGGCCGCCATTTTGTTAATTTCGAAAAAAAAAAAAAAAGCTTCGATCAGGCACAAGATTATCTATTAATAAAACTAATTTTTCTTGTCCGATTGATTTTAGATGAATCTCCAAGGACTTATGATGATCACCGCAAAGGACTTCGGGAGGAACGGGCTCTACAAAAACAGCGATAACTTTTTGAATTTTTTTTTTTTTTTTTGAAATTTTCGTGAAGTCAAATCGAAACGTGTTCTAATAAAGATATGTTTTTATTTTTGTCAAATAAAGTAATTAACAACAAATTTTTTTTTATTGAAAATCATCATTTTTTAGGCCTCTGAGTACCCCTAACCCCTTAAAAATCTTTTTTTACATTGTGTTCACAATCAATCTAATCGATTTGAATAAAAGTTATCAGTACCTTTCCTTAAATTAATTGATTTAAAATAATCATTATGCCTATTCTGTGCAGTCAACATTATTAATAAAGAAATGTTTGTTTTTAACTGCTAAATACATTAGTTAGTTCATTGATCTCGAACATATAGTTTTTTATGTAATTTATATTTTATGCATTGCAAGTTTAGAAAACAAAAGAATGCGTTTTGTTAAAACACTTGAACGTTTAGTTATTGCAGTTGTAACAATTCTTTGAGAACAATTTATTTACTTTTAGCAAAGTTCTAAAAATTTGATAATTCCATGAAAATAGTTTGGATGATTCACTTTATAAACGGTACGAATTTCATAATCATCCATCATATATTACTAGGGGTACAAGATGTGCCGTTCTCCTTGGTATGTTTATCTATATATATCTGTGTACTTCAAATTTACGCATTTCATTAGAGCTTAGAGTAGAGTGAGCAGTTTGAACCTTTTCATTTCAGTGTATATTACAACTCGACGGGAGTACCTGGTCGGCAGGGGGTGTCGGTGATGCTGGTGAGGCGGGAGGTGCGGAGGCGGCGAGGCGACGTGGTGCAGCGCGGGCGTGCTCTTGCTGGACTTGACGGGCTCGGCCGCCAGGCGCGCGGGCAGGTCGCGCTCGGACGCGCGCCGCACGGCACCGCCCGCGCCCGCGCCGCCCGCCGTCGCGCCGCTCGCCGCCGCGCCAGCTACAATACTCAGTCTAATGCACTCACTCTGCATCCCATGTGTCTTTGATACTAACATTTTTTTAAACTATGTATTTATAAATAAAAAAGGTGTCGCACACTATGCATAGGCCAATAACACAAAGACGACTAGATACTCTATTCCGAACTCCTGTACGATATCCGAAAGACACGATTACGAGTAAAGGAACGAGTGTTTGAACTAATATAAAGCTGCAGCATCCATAAGCGTGTCTAAAAAGAATTGGAATAATCATAAAATACATTTGTTTCCACACCAATGAATCAACGATCGATCGATGCTGTAGATGATATGATATGACGATAGAATGTTCATATTAATTGAAGTGTGTACTGTACTAAATCCCATTGATTCGAATTGTTGTCGAATTTTTCATTGTACGTTGGACAATGCTGGTTAATCTACGATTAACGATAAATTACGATTTTAATGTGGTGAATTACGATTTACAAATCAATTTTTTTTTTACATTTTCGTAACATAAAAAAATATAGCAACAAAGCATGCAAATTGAGATCTATTAGAAACCTAATCACTAAATTATTTAGGCAACAATCGAACGCCTGGTGATCGATCCTCCAGCAACCGTTTATCTACCATCAGATGACATTCCAATTATAATGATTTCGAAAGAATCATAATGAAACGAATGATTGATTTATAGCCTTTACTCAACCAGGCAAGACTTTAAAGATAAAGTTCATCGATAGTATCAATCGGTGATCATTTCGTGTAGTGGCATTAAAAAAAAAGATTTTTATGCAATTATAAAACGTCAGAGGATTATTGATATAAATAGAGATAAAAGACTTAAAACGAACGAAATAAAATAAAAACGAGTGTTATGTGATAACATAGGTCAAAATAACGATGTTTGGTCAAATAACAACATAATACTCAACTACGACCATGCACCTATGTAAACAAAAGTAATAGGTGGAGTAACAATAAGAAATAAATGGTGCGTCCAGCTATAACACACCTATCGTCATGCGTGTGTGGGGGCCTTACACGTTGTATGAGCGTCATCTTCACCGCTGATGTCTGGGCAACTGCGCGCAAAACCCCCGAGGATAGAAGCCATTGACACGTCTAGGAAAGACGAAGTTGATGGAATCATTGCTACAACCCTTGGTAGTCTATTCGTTAGCACTTTTTCTAAGCTTTCGCTCCTTGCTAGTGATTCTTTGCTTTTTGCCTGTTCAGAGTTCATGCTTGATTGATTTGATTTCAACTTAATATTATCGAGTGTGATTCGTTTAGGTTTTTTATCGATTATTTCGTTGAAGACATATCCGTTTGGTGTATCATCAGTGTGCTCCTCAGAAGGAAGGTTTGGGACTTCAAATTCATTGCCATGCGCCAAAGTGTCCTCACTTCCTCGAGATCCATATTTAGACCAGTCCTCTAACTGAATCAATATACTTTTTACTTCATCATCAGACATTTTTCTTTCCTTAGCGTCGCTCGTATCCGTTTTATTGATTTCGTATTGTATGTCGGCTAGACTTGTACTCATGGGTGGAATGTTCCTTACTTTAGATGCTTTATCATCGCAACAGCGAACACTTAGATTAGGACTGGATTGACAATTTCGTTTATATATCTTAACGCAATATCTTAAATTTATATCATTGAAATGTTTAGTCAACTCTTTGACTTTACCAAATGCAGGTCTGAATTCATCTGGAGACTTCCAGGACTTTCGATTCACACAATCTAATATTTGTTTGGCACCTGGTTCAGCAGGGCTTTGAGCTTTAACCTTTTCGATATCGAAAACCTCATTTGTAGTTTGATCAAATGAATCAGACGTTGAGTAAGTGGACGGTATTTCAGTATCTTCTGATTTTCCAGAAAATGATGTGGACATACTAAACAATGCTCTTTTAAGTCGGCATTGAATATTGCTCATCTTTTCATAGTCCTTCTTTATATGTAAATTGAGCTCAAGCTTTGTATTATTTGGAGCAGGGGTTAAATCTTTGGATTCATTAAACATAGGGGAAGACGAAGTCTGACACATTGCATCGACGGTTTCAGTTTTATGATCAGATTCTGATTGGTCCAGGGATAAAGAAGGTAATATCCGACGCATTTTTGGAGTGGCTACCTTGTTAGATGGTATTTCATTTTCAAATATAAACGGTTCCGAGTTGGGTTCATCTATAAACGGGATCTGTTGTGTTTCAGGCTGAGGAGTTCGACAACATTCGCATGCACTAACACATTCATCAACTCCAGTACACCTCCTTCTATAAAACTCGTGTTCCCGCGTCCGCGACTTGAACAAGTCCAACGTAAGTTTAGTGTCAATAGGTTTCATTTGTGGTGGTAAACAAATTGGCTCTCCGTTATCGCTTGATAGGTCGTAATTTGCTGGTGGATCAGGTACGGGTGGAGCCTCCTCGTGGGGCGATTCATCACCTTGAGTTCGGTCACTCATATCTTCACTAGTCGGATGTTGTTCGTCGAAGTCTTCACAAGTGAACGTGAATACAGGAATAGGACGAGGTGGCGCTCCTTGACATTTAAGTTCTAGTGGACAGCCTGGAGTATCAGGCGACAAGTCTTCTTGCAGCTGGTTGTTCTCCTTGTCTAATGTCACTATCAACCTAGGAATGGATCCGTGATAATACGGCGCCCACTCTTCGCTTTCATCGGTGCTAGATTCTGTAGACTCATCTCTCAAAATTTGACATCGGTCGTGACACGGCCGACGACTATATCCTGTAAAGATACTTAAGTAAATCTTGTTTCGGTATTATAGTATCTTCTAAGGATATAGCAAACAAAAAATGAAGAAAAGTAAAATCAACAAATATATCCTATACAGAGAGGTAATATTTAAATAGCTTTACTTAAACTGTAGGTTACAATATACGAAATCATAACATGGAAGAGGCAAATAAATAAAAACGAATTGAAGAGCTGTTCAAAGCAAAGTTCAAAGTAAACAAGCGGCCAGTAATCGAGAGATGTTACCGGGCGCGTGGGTGTCGGGAATAAAAGGCATATGTTTCGCCGAGGTGTAAAATTGCCAAGACATAATTGCCTGCAGTAGCGAGCTCAGTAAGCGGCGAGGTCGGTTTGAGCAGCGCTGGGTGCATGTTCGTGAACGTGCCCGAGTTGCGCCGCATGCGGTCTTCGTACTGCACCTCTTCGTCTGCTGGCCCCACCAATGAATATAAGTGGGATGAATATGATAAATACATGACAACCTAGTGAAATAATCCACCGAAGAGTAACCTTAATCGATACTATTTAGTTCCGATTGGGTTTTTAACCTGTAAGGCAATTATATAGTAGACTAACAGTGAAGTTTAAAGAATGTGCACAAGGATTTTTAATTGAAGACAAAATTTTTCAGTGTGCATCTCGTTTAGTATGCCAACAATCGTATGACGCGTTGCAAATATCTCAAATTGTGGTAGCCATAATTTGATATGTCACTTGACGAGCGTTGTTTTCAATTTCCTCAAATCCTGGCATAAGTTATGTTTAAAAATTAATTTGCTACAGCTTTCACCAACGACGCACGCACATCAATGACATTCCCGAGTCAAAAGTTTATAGAATTTGTACATCATTGTAACATAATATGACTACATTAGTGTAAACAGGGTCGCATTATCGTCGTAACACGTCACACTTATGACGGGCTTAGAAGGTGAAATTTGAAAAAGCCTTCTGTGGAAACATAGGAAGATATCTGAGAATCGACCGACACACCCCTATAGCAAAGACCGGGGAATCAAAACGATAGGCCGGAACCAGGATTCACCGGTAATGTCTATTGTTTTAGAGAGGAACTGGTCTAGATGTAGCCCTGGCTAGATCAGACATATGACGATATAGCTTTTCCTAAAAGATCATCTTTATTGAAATCGACCAGATAGGACAAGGCGGGGACTATAGGATAACGCGGACTATCAAGATTGATTTTAGACAAATAGTGGATTCATTTAAAGAGTAGTAAATAATTTTGATTATAGATTGTATAATGAATATAAATGTATGAAGTTACTTTGGTGATTATGATTATGTACCTTGTCGTTGATTGTATGCAGGTTGGTGTAAGAGAGTTGCAAGTCCATGAAGCAAAGCACCTTGCTTTGCCACCTCCAGGGTCACCGTAGGTCCGGTACGAACTAGATATTCTGCAGCCTATAATTATAACAACAGTAATTAACTCAACAAGTCTTATATTCTCTCGTCCATACGATCTAACAAATAAACTGTAGTCTCTAATTTTCTATACAAACAAATAAACTTGAAGAGTCTGTTTTTAATGTCGAAAAAATAGGTTTTTTCATGCTCACACGGTTATTTGCACGATACCTGTCTAAAAACCAGTTTAATTTTTTTTTGTCTGTCCGTCTGTTTGTTCTGGGTAGTCTTCTAAACTGCTAGACTGATTTTGATAATATTTTACTACCAGGTAGTTGTCTATAGAAGGAGTACCTTAGGCTATTTTTCCTCTTAGAAAAACCCTTACAATTTTTCCCGGTCCGAGAATAGAACCCACTAAGGCAGTGTTTTTCAAATTCATCGCGGGTAGCAGCTAGTTTTTAATATATTTACTACATTGATACTATAATTCGGCTTCTGTGTAATCCTGTTTTAGAACATAAGTAAATCATTTTTCTTAATTGCCACACAATATATGCCTATTCAAATGTGTACATTCGGCAATAAATTAACGGCTTCATAATTTTTATTTTGTAACTTTGTTCGATAGGAACACCGCTTGGCATTTGGTTAATTTATTGCTTGACCTAATTATTCTATATGCATATATCAATCAGTGTATGGATTGAGATCATACTTTACTTTTAATTTGCTAAAGGAGTAATTTTATTACCTTCTCTTGAGTAATTCCTACGAGTGATTGTCCATCAACGGATAACAGTTGATCTCCGGCCGCTAGGCGCCCATCTGCGGCCGCCGCTCCGCCGGGTACCACAGATTTGATGTAAATTCCTAGTTTCGTCTGACCCGCACCCTGCATTTAAAAGTTTAAGTTTTAATTCTGAAAAACTTATAAAAAAAATCGGTTGTCTGTAAAGTTGGTTTACTGACGATAGTTGAACGTGACAACGTCATAAGAAAATACTGATGGAATGGTTGCATTTTTCAAAAATGTATTATTGTATACGAGTAGCAGCTGTCCACGCGGACGTATCGCTCACTCAAGTAGGAGAGAGACAGATGTCGAACGCTGCCGAACGCGGAGGCCGATTGTGCCTCTTTGTCACTCGTTCCGCGCTCTCGCTTGCACTTCACGAATTAAATGGAACGCTTCAGAGCGAGGTAACGCCGCATGAGTCATGTTTTTTCGTGCGTGCAGCCGGCTCCATCGAATTATAAGACGTTGTCACGTCAAAAAAGTACGTCTCGATAGCTTCATCGTCGCCTCGTACGATAGGAAAAAGCGGGTGACCTTGGCGGCGACGATGCTGAGCCCCATGCCGTTGGAGTTCTTGTGGAGGTGGATGATGTGCACTTTGGGGTCGGGCGGGTGTCGCGCGGGGTGCTTGAGCGCGGGCGCGGCGTGGCCCATGTACACGGTCCACACGCCCAGCGCGTGCGGCTGGTGCGCCAGGCGACACAGGCCGCCGCGCTGCAGCGGCGCCACGAACTCGGCCAGGCCGGGCGGCACGCCGCACACCACCTCCGCGCTGAACCCGTCGCTCGGGATCAGCAGCCCCGCGCCCAGCCACGAGCTCTCCTCCAGGCGGATCTGGGAATATTACTTACAGTTCATTTTTAACGATCTCAGAAATTAATAGTCTAAAATACCTAAAGCAGATAATGAATGATAAAAAGCTATAACATTAATAATATTATATTGCTAAATTGTCGCTTGCAGCTTCTTCCAGATAATCTATCGATTCGAACACTGTTCTACCGAAACTTAACTTAGGTTTTCACATGACGATTTTGAATACAAAAGAAATATTTATTTGTGTAAACCGTAAAATAACCGTAGTATTTAAAAAGGGACATTATAGAAGAGTTTAGGCAATCACCTCTCGGCCATCGGCTCGGTACAGTTCATCGGTGTGAGTCCGCACGTAGGCCACGCCCGCCTCCACGACGTCGGGCGGCGCGAGCGGCGCCAGTAGCGCGCGCGCTTGGACAGAGTTTAATTTGAAACACGCCTTTAGTGCTGCGCACACGTCCTCCTCTGTGCGATATTCGCCTTGGATTAATCGAGCTGAAAATACATATTAAATCATCAATATGACCCGTGGAAGTAAAAAGTAAATTATGAATAAGTAATAAAATTTACGGTCTCTTTATATTTATTTATAGATATAATTTGTACATTAAAATTTAAATTCAAACAGATATCTATATTGATTTGACTTGATATCTATATTGCAATTTTACTGTTGGTATAGCAGTGAATGATCCCAACTGCTCAGCCAGAGGTCGCGGGTTTGATTTCCACTCGAGTCAAATCATTGCGTGACGAACACGATCATCTGTTACATATACCATATAAGTATGTTTATTAGCAGTCTCACTGGTGATATGTAATCCATAACACCAGTTATTATTATTACTAATCACACGCATTTTACTTCGCTATACTCTTATTACTTCAAAACGACCAAGCAATGTTGTTTGGTGAGTAAATGAACAATATAAGTTCAATACGCGGATTCTAGATAGACACTGACCAGCTTGGTTCATCCTGGCGAAGTGGCACTCGGCGGCCAGCTCGAGCCCCTGGCGCTCGGCCCAGGCGGCCAGCACCTTGAGGCGCGCCAGCAGCGCGCCGCCCCAGCGCGCGCTCACCATGCCCGCCTCCGTCACCAGCTAGACCACAGTCACATTTATTATTTACTATTTCTCAATTAACTTCATAAGGGTTAGCAGTAAATGAAAAGTTTTTATCAAAGTTAAAAATGTGAAACATTTTTCTTAAATAAAAAAAAAGTTTGAAAATCCCGTTTTAAATACTCGTATTATGAAGTACATAAGTACATTTACAAGTACATTTACAAATAAGTACATTTGGTACATAAGTTTGAGTTATACTTGCATTTTGTTTTATTACTTACCTTGTTGAAGCAAACTGCGTTGATATAGTGAAAGAGATGCGAAAACAATTGTATGGTGAGCGCAGCGTTGACCCGGCACCTCCGCAGCAGCACGATGGCGGCGGCGAGCGCCTGCAGCGTCGGCGCGGTGGCTTCTGTGGCGTCCGCCACTGCGGCGCTCGTCAGAGTCGCGAGGCCTCGAGATAGTTCTTCTTGGAAGCACGTCACCAGGTTGCTGTAATAATGCCGATGTGAAGACATTTATCATATTATATTATTTGTAGTAAATAATAAAGTAATCGACTTCTAAAATTGTGGAAAGTGGGTGTTTTTTGTAAAAGGAAAGAGATATTTTGCTTACGTGAAAAGATGGAGTGCAAACAATAGCCCTAACTAACTAAATACATTCAGTTGGTTAGTGCTATTTCAGTTACAAACGCTGGGAGTTCTGAGCCCTCCAGTATTCTTATTTATCAACACAATTATATTTAAAAAGTAATGATATTGATTTAGTATCATGATTTCCTTTGTTTGCCAAATGTTGGTTGTGTTTCATTTTGAATTAAAATATATCCCTCTCCTCAGATTATTATTTTTATTACCATGCAATGCGTATTACAATTAGTGTAAAACTAATAAAACACATGGAATATAATTCAAATGTTATTTAAGAAAGTAATCAAGAAAACGTTAAAATGTAGTCTTTAATTTTATAAAATATGCACCACTCGGGTGACACACCACTGTTTTGTAACTTATAACAAGTACTTACAAGAATGAAGCCGTTGCAGCCTTACCTATGACTGAGAAAAGAAGACTATTCTACTGTATGTTAAATTGTGTGGTAAGTAAGTGTTTATTAGTTGACTTCGGAGAAACGCTTACCTAAAAGCGTTTTGTACGGTTATCGAGAGCAGATCTTGAGCTTGTGTCGAAAATGAGGATATATGTCTGTCGTATTTAAGAAAATGCAACAATTCACTAGCATTAGTCATCCAGAAAGCCTGTGCTGCTGAGTCGGAGCACCTCTCCTGCAAATTAAATTTCATGATGGCTTCAAAAGCATTAAGTTATTGTATGGAATTCGCGACATCACACGAGTAAAAATATATCATTATGAAATTAATTGTCCTTTATAGTACAGTACCTTGATTGTGGTTCATAATTTTAACGGCTAACTATGGTTGATTTAAACCATGGTTGGAGCTGATCAACTGAATTAAATAATAAACATACCCTCAAATAGATTATTCTTTGTCTGCACATGAAAGTTTTAATTATTAAATGTCTTTGTTTTAGTTCAAACAAGTCACGTAACAATACTGTTGAAACAGCGCCAAGGTCAACATAGCCGAAGTAAGGTTCCATGAACTAAAAAATTGTTTTTTCTCATGGAATCATATGCATAAAAAATCGAGAATATTCACGATTCTGTTGACCAGATGCCTGATTTGCATTGTAATACTTTTTATTCGAATATGTTATTGCTTCTTATAATTCCATCCATCTTATAATTCTAGGGGGGGTACCGCAACTATAAACTCTACACTTCGAAGCGAATAAAATAATTAAGACCTGAAGAAATAATACCTGTACAGTAGCGTGTATAAGCGTTGCGACGTGGTGTAAAAAGGCGGTCAGTTTGTGCGCACGCTCAGTTGGCGTCAGTTCAGGCCGGTAATGAGTCGATGCTCGGTACCTGGAAGGTATATTATATTTGTTTGTTTTTATGGTACAGGGGGCAAATGAGCAGACAGGTTAATTGACTCCGTCCTTTGACTCTACCGCACAATTACTTTCTGTGAGACCGTGCTATCACTCCGGTTGCACTATGGAAAACGGTAGAACAACGGCATATCAAAAATTGTTTTTACTAATATCGTTATTGACTCACTTTTAAAAGTTTATTGAATAGTATAAGAATGGAGCTTTAATATAATGTAGTGATTAGGTATGAATTGCATTTGGAATGTATTTTTTTAATCATCAACAGCCTTTAATAGTCCACTGCTGGACATAAGCCTCTCCTGAATACCACAATGTAATTCTTAAGAATGTCTATTTCAGGTTTGTTCGCTTCAATTAAATTGTTCGTTAAATTAATTTATTTCAAAAATATGTGGAAATAGTTATAAAGTGTTTTACATTTCTAAAAAGCCCATTGCATGTAGATTTTAAAGCAATTATAATATTGTAGGTTTCTATGAAAAAAATTAACAAGAAGTGAGGGGAAAAAGGTCAATTTTTTAACTTCTTCGGAGCTTTTGACAGTTACCGACAACTCCCGACACTTTACATTTGATGTTGGTTTGTAGCGTAGATATTCATAAATAACAGTTATAAAAATCAGCTGCGGATACGTGCGGTTTCCGAATTTATCACGAACAGTATGATACAATTCAGGAAAGAGAAAACCGCCATATATTATGGTTTCTATTGTCTAACTATTTAATTAATTGGTTTGAGGTATATTTTTATTCAATATTAGTTGTTTATTGATAATAGGGCGTTTTATCTACATTTTGCACTCAGTTTGCGGGCAACATTATTAAACAAAATGGTGTGCATTTTGTTTATCTCTACTCTCATTTATAAAATATATATAAAGAGTAGCCTCCTTTAATGTCGTTATTACAAATTCGTAATGAACTAAACAGACGTTTGATTGTTTCGTATCTTCGCTGCATTTCAAAATGTCTACTACTTTCAAGTTTCTAAACGCGAATTCTTACTGTCATACATTTCAAACTTGAAGCTCTATCAAACAGTTTTAAAAGCAAACTATAATGTTTCTGAAGACATGTGTTTTATTATCAAAGGTGATGTTCAAAGGAATTCTTATTCCTCGCTTTAATGGGCAGAAGCGTCGAGGAAAAAGGATACATTTTAAAAAAAGTACAACGATTGGTTGGATTTAGAATATTTGGTAACTTTACCGAACCCAGAAGTAAAACCTGATATTACGCCATCTACTTTTTCTGGAAAACGAGGAAGACCCTGTGTCTCTTATGGGGACTCGTCAAAGTCAACAAAAAAAAAAAGAAAAAATACTGCGCTACTCAGTGAATATGGCTTTCAACACGTTTACAACGCCTTTGTTCAGGGATTACATTCAATGGGAGAAGGAATAGACGCAAAACGTGTGGAAACGCTAAGGCTTGCTGATAGTGATACAAAGTCTCTATATTTGAATTTTATAGGTAACGCAAACCACACCAAAATGCAAAGGGATCAAGAGGCATTAAGTGTTTTCATTGATTTAGATTTAACGAAAGCACAATGTTATATATTCCCACCATATTTTAAAATACAAGAAATCAAACAAAGATGTTATCCACCATCTTCAGCAGTAGAAATTACAAATAAACATGCAAAAATACTGAATCTTCAAGATTTATTGGACCACACTGCAGCTAGAATTTTGGCTATAGATTGGATATAAGAATGGATGGAGCCATTTAGTTTTATACAGTAAATGAGGATGTAATGGTTCATCTGGTCAAAGTCAGTACAAACAAAAACTTTGTCTGGCAAAATCCAGTGTCTTTCCTCCTTCTGGTTCCACATGTACAATTTGTGGAGCTACTCCACAGCAAATGAATGATCTGACTAAAGTGACTGCTAGGCCAGAAAATGAAAATGCATATCAATACGGGCTTACTACATTGCACGTAAATTTACAGTAAAGAAAAGAAACAACCTATATGCACACAAAATTTCATAAAAATCAGTACAGCCGTTTCGGAGGAGTTAGAAACACCGCCATACGAGAATTTTATATATTTGATATTTTTGTAATCATAACGTTTAATTACTTTTTTAAATTGTTAAGTTGCTTCATTATTATAGGTTTATAATAAAATAATAACTTTTCATTCAAAATATAAATAGTGTTGTCTCTAAGAAAATAAATAAAGGTAATTTCTTAAAACTTTTTGTTATTATCATTTTTTAAATATATAATACTCTAAAAAAAAATTAGCTTCTGAACTTTATCTGAAGCCTTATATAATACTCTATGCTTGTGCAAAAATTCAATCGTCTTTCTTGACGAATAAAAAAGTTATCGATTTTTGATCTGAAACAGACCTCGGTTTTCCATAGTGGGTCGGGCCCGGCCCATATGTACCCGGAGCATGGCTCTATCTTGCCTAGTTATATATCTTCATAATTTTTGCCGTACTTAACAGCTTTTAGATATATAAATAAACTTTTATTTATTTAACGGCAAATCTTGCAACTTCTATCATAGCTTTTTAACATCGGCGGCGGCGTACAGTGTGTCTTTTTAATGTTTTTTTTTTAAAAGTCATAGCTCCTGATAGGAAAAAGATATTTACATACAACTTTGTAGATACTTTTACAACGCTATTTACAAGGAACAATTCTACAACGCTATCTCGACTTTTAATTTGGATAGGGTCAGGGACTGTTTTAATTCAAACAAGTGCTACATTTGCCTGTCCCTTATTAAATATTGAGGAACTTATATCCAGTAGTGCGTAAAGTTAGAAAAGCAAAGCGATAGCGACATCGACCGAGCATACAGTTAATTGCTAGCGGAAAGGGAGAGGGCCGCGAGGCTTAATTCTTATTGTCTTTCTAAATAATTACATATAAGCTTTTAGGCACAGTTTGTCCAAGTAATATTGTACCCTATAAAATGAAATTAATGGTACAAGCTTATTTAATGCATAAGTACTGTTTCATGGTTTTAGAATTATCTGTTCTTATGTTAAGTTGTGCAACGCAATTTCATCTGCACAAAAAACTTTCTGAAAAAAGAAGCTTCAAAAGAAGAAGTCGAGAATTTGTAAAAAAACAAGGTTAAGTCGGACTCCTAGAATTCAGTAAAACGAATTTTTGCAGTCCCTATTTACTCTAGGAAGTTTTATATGTATGTTTCTCTTTATCGGAAATAGTACTGTCGGCATAGGTCAAACAAATATTCATTCCGCAGCAGAAAATGAAATCGGATGCAGTATCCATCGCATCGCTCGTGGTTCGCTTATTCAGTCGAAACTAGGGTGGAGAATCGATCTAAACAATTGTGAAATGTATTAATGGTTTTTGTGATACTCGGTGATATTCACCAAGGTACATTTTAAGTTCGCCCGAGGTTTTAAATCCAACACAGATGTTCTTAAATCTCGGATCGATACAGCTTCCCTTAAAAAGATAAAGTTGTACTAAAACTTAAGGCTGTCTAACACGTGTTTTTATATAACTGCAGAGGCTAAATTAACGAGATAAATAGCACCTTTATATTATTTGATTTGACTATGTTGCTCTGACTAGCTCACAGGCGGACTAACTCAATAAATAATAATTATGAAATAATAACGTTATGGGTTTTTAAAGGATTATTTGAAAGATGTTTTATCGCAAAGGCAAGTAGGCATTTGGTGTTATAAAAGCAATGGCAACTTTTATACTGCACTGTACGACCATCACGATTTATTAGCAGATATGCGTAGAATGAAAAAACGTCATTATGCATTTGTCGTTCGTTTTTAGAAGTAGGTAATATAAACGTTGCAGCAATTAGACTCTTACCTAGCGCATAAGTAGAGCGTATATACAGGAGCTAATTTGAATGCTGGTGCATGAGGGTCAAGCCTTGTGATGACAGCAGCAAGAAATTGTGCTTGTCCCGCTTCAGGGAACTCCAAGACTGCTGGTAGGATAGCCTCTTGACACTGGCGAGCCCCACCAACTACACTGCTCATCCTGACAAATCAGTCATATAAAATCAAACGTCAAAGAAACAGTCATATTACAAATCCTTCATGAAATTCTATAGAACTTTTGAATATTAATAAATAGTTATAAACATAAATAAACGAACTATATTAATTATTTAATAATTAAAATTGTTCAAAGTCAAGAGCAAATTATTTATAACAAATATAGTCTACAAAGACAGGAAGAGTAAATCAGAATAACTTCTATATACAATACCTGTTTTCATGCCCAGAACCCCCGCTCTTGGCACTGCAGATACTCTTTGTCTCCACGTTGCCGTCCAGATCGAATGTAGTCTCATAATTGTCTTTATACTGTGAGTTGGCAGTGCGATTTACACTGGCGCTCTGATCTTGGTCGTTATACACAGAGCTCGAGTGATCGTCTTTTGCGTATTCGTCTTTCGAATCACTTAGATGCTGTGACATTATGAGCGACTCGTTATCGAGCTTCAACGTGTTGTTATTGTACGGTGGTATAGTGTCGTTGCCATCTCTGTAATATGTATCATGAGACACTGGGCTCATGGTTCTTTGATACTCTGTATCGTTGGTAGTGTTCGCGTTCGAGTCGAGTGGGTCGGGCTGGTGAGAAGACATCGAAGTCGGCGACATGGCACCGCTATTCTCGCCGGGAGATGTCGGCGATCTAACGTAAGGGTAACGGACACAAGCGTATATTCGTGAGCCAGTGACAGAAACATGCAAAAGAAAACAAACAATGATAGATGAAACAACATAAATATACAGAAGGTGATTAGGTAAGCAACAGAACCGGTTGTGTGTGTACCTAAAGAATTAATTTAAATTACAGGTAATACAAAAATGTATGCATTTGTGCGCAAAAGTTGTTGAAACTATCGATCAAATAAACCAAGGTTTGGGTAACACTACATTTAATTAACTATAGGGGCGCAACTAACCACAACATATAAAGTAACGAGCTGGCAAATATGCTTTCATTCTCACCTGTCGTATATTGAGCCGGAACCGAAGCGTTGTGATTGAGCTAAGTTTCTGTTAATTAAGTTCTCTTGTGCGGGGTCTACGAAGCGGAATGTAGAAACTCGGCCGAATTTGAGTAGGCAACCGTGCTGCGAGAAAACATGTCAAATTGATATATAAGATAATAATAATCACTTGGGTGGTACAATATTGCGTTTATTTTTTGGATATTCCTTTGTTGTTATCTCATAATATTATAAAATCAACATCATAAACTAGGGGAAGGACGGGCAAAAAGGATATGTTAATTTAAAAATGAAATAACAATATTCAGTCAATATTTATAAGAAAAAACTCACAAGTATGCAAGACCGACGCTTTATCGATTACGGTAAGTGTAGTTATATAATGGATTGATAGATGGCAGTCTAAAATGTTTCTATCGACTGACCAGCGATTTAAACGATTCTTTATTTTACCCGCCCTCTCCGTCCTGCCCGTCTGTACCCTATGTGAAACGTAAAGTGTTGTAAAAACAATATTTTCCTATTTGTGATTTGCTTCAAAATCTGATGCTGAAATTAAATCATTATATTTTTAAGCTTGAAGATGAACTATTGTTGTAACTCACACTTACAGAATCATATTCCGTTCTATTTTTAAAACCAGATAATGAAAATTAAGTTAATATTAATTAATTATTAATTCAATAAGAGTTTACGAGGCTTATTACACTTTGTATTATTTTTTTTTCAAAAAATATTGGGTAACACTGTTATAGTTGACACGTAAGTAACAAGATTCATTATTTTAAAATCAATTCCATTTTTTTTCCGTTTCCGAATCACAGAAGTGTTTTAAAATAAATTGGTGGCAGCGAGTGTAGGTAGGTATACCTACTGACGACACACGTGTGGGTGGTTGGATGAATATATTACACGTAGTGTTCCAACGTAACCCATTTATAAAAACACCGGGGGCAACTGAATAACCTTGGTCTACAAGTTTAACATGTGTCTGGAATATATTAATACGGTCGTATTGAGGTTACAAAAGCAATACACTTACCACCGACATCATCAAAAAATGTACACCTACATAAGGTAAATATGTATACCTATGGTAAGCGATGTTTCAATTTCGATAAACACCTCTTTTTTAGCTGTAAAGTAAATACGTAACACATTTGGTTACTTAGACGTAGACAATGCATTAATAAAGTACAAACGATAGCCTTATCGCTTAAAGCAATCCAGGCGTGGGCCTTATACGGTGGACCAAAATAGTTTGTCTAATGCAGGGATTCCTAAACTAATTTGGGCAAGAGACCTCTTTTCCAAAATGAACTGAAGGCATATTCTCGTATTTTAAAACATCAGAGGCCGAAATGTGATTATAGTATCGAGACTATTATGTTATATACTAATAGGTATTCTGCTAACAATTCTCATGACGATCTACTGACTGATATAGATTAAATATATGCAGAAGTATACAAAACATATACAGAATTAAAAAAAAATGATAATACGATGACTTTATAACTTCAAAACTTGTTTTTTATCAACAAATCACCATAGGCATACCAACGGTATTTTTAAACTATTTATACATTATTACATACATTATTTTTTATTTATTTCATAAATTACATTACATAATGCATAGAGATATATTCATAGAGTTAACACGGGGTACAGCTGCCTGTAAGTGGAAGTGATATAGGCAACGAGAGAGATGGATGCCCAATAGATCCCTCTGTCTCTGTTTGGCTACGTTGCGATTGGCCATTGTGAAGTGGGCATGGTTTTCATCGTAGAACAGGCGGGAGATCAGAAATTTTGCAAACAAATTTGGTGTAAATAATTCAAACTCAAGGTATACAAAACACGTAGCTCAAAAACTTGAGGCAAACATTTAAAAACCGTGTAAATGTTTAAACGCACAAGTAGCAAAGTAATTGTTAGCAGGAATTCTGAACGACAGCAGTTTAAACTAAATAACCTCAACTGAACATGTGTACATACAAAATCAACTTAAAATTGGAACATCAAGCTAAACTGTGTTGAAAAATAAAAGCATGATCTGTAAAAAATCTCATTTTACCTTTTTAATCATTTAAAATTAAATAAAAAAAATGAAGTACAGTTCAACCAAAGAAAGAAATGAGACACAGTGTATTAAAAATTTAATATTATAAGTCTAACAAACTTAAAACTTAATTCTTAAAACAGCATCATTTGGAAACCTGATAAATTACATGTATACACTTGTAGAATAATTGGAATAAAATGAAAATGAGTGAGGTTAGAATTAAACTTAGGTGTGAAAACTATGTTTGTTTAGAGCTGAGTAAACCTCTTTGCATAGAAAACAATGCTACATTTTTTGTTCCAGTTTTTCATTAAAAATAATTTACAGTTTGGCAAAATAAAAAAGAAACAACTTAATATTCCTTATTAACTCCTCATATTCCCTAGAAAACCACAGCTCGACTAGGAAGAGATAGAGGAACTGTTTAACATCCATCTCTCTCGTTGCCTTTATTGCACAATTGGGGCTTTTGTTCGCTCTATGCTTGTGTATGAATGAGTACCTAAACAAGTTTCTCCTCATCTACCAATTAGGATTGCTCCACGATTTCATGGAACAGCTTACTAGGTACATTGATGCTGGTAAGAGGTAGGACAGGTAAAGGTTTGTGCCAGACAATCACCATAATTCTGAATTCAATGGTGACCATAATATAAAGCACAGAATTTTAGGCACTTAAGTAGGCCAAACAGGTACAACAAACCTAACTCCGTTTTAGAAAACTTTGTTTTATATTAGGAGGCTGCAGTTTGCCAGTCAGGTATAATCCAATTTCAGCAGCTGCACTTGCATGTGTGTATTTACCTAATAAATAACTATGTAGGTACTTTAATTTATTACTGTTCACCATTTCTGGCTTTTCTATTGTACTTGCATCAGGATGATGATGACAGACATGACACCAGAGAAGATATTTTTGTGGAGGGATATACCGCCACAGCGTGTATTACTTCATTTCAGTAAGAAATTGTAATTAGGGCGGTGTCAATGTATTACTACAAAAGTAAAATATTTTTTATTTCAGTGATCCTGGAATATTTATTTCCAATGAGTTAGTAGTGCCTAATTATAATCGAAATTATCCTTTACTTAATATAGAAGTAGTTGCAACAAAATAAAAATGTTTCAGCACCTTCATACATTATATTATACAGGTGTTTTAAAATAAATAATAACAAATAAAAGACAACTGGAGGTATAGTAGGCGCCTTATAACTCTGCGTCAACGAAGTTCAAAACTCCGATTTACTGAGAACTACTTCAGATTATTACATATATATTATTATAGTAATTTGCCACTTTAATAGACTAAGTTTTAAACATAATTCTAGAACTGTCTATTCTTTGATAACGTATTCCCTAGTAGTCCGGAGTTGTTGCCAAATATTAACGAAATCGTTCGGAAATACACATGTCAACAATCGGATACACATGTACATTATATACACTCCGTTCCAAAAATTACGGGTCAGTCACAAAAATTGAAATACCTCCAGAACTGTAAAAGTTAGATCAATGAAATAAAAAACAGAATAAAGACATTTTAGTTGCGCTTCTAATAGCATATTATTTAAACTGAAGACAGACAACTGGTGGCTACAATGCTCCGAAATCGTTTTCAAACTGCTGTTGGTCTAAAAACTCACTTTATTCGCTTTGGAGGTGGCAATTTAAGATTTTACAGTAAGAAGACGTCTTGCTGAAGCAAATTTGGAACCATTGAGGTCCACAAATGGCCCTAAACTGGAACGGGGACATCGAATTGCAAGACAGAGATACGTGCGCGAGCACCTAAACTGGACACTAGACGATTGGTCTAGGGTAATGTTCACGGACGAGTCTAAATTCATGCTTTATAAGCATGATGGTAGGCAGTTGGTGTACAGAAGACTAGGGGAGCGCTTCCATCAAGCGTGTGTGGAGGAAAAAGTGGCGTACGGTGGAGGCTCCGTACAAGTTTGAACTGGGATTTCTACTGAGGCCCGCACCGAGCTGGTACTCATTCAAAATGGAACTCTAAATAAAGAGAGGTACGTGGAAGAGATCCTCAATGAACATGTAGGTCCTTTCATGGTCAGGATGGACCGGCATGGCATATTAATGCATGATAATGCGCGTCCCCATACCGCCAGAATTGTACATGACTACCTTGAAGAGGTCGGTATCGAACTCATGCAGTGGCCAGCGCGAAGCCCGGACTTAAACCCCATCGAGCACGCCTGGGACGAGCTTCAGAGATGCGTGAAAGGTCGAAACCCGACCGAGCTCAAACAAGCACTGGTGCAGGAATGGGAAGGTATTCCTCAGCACCGGCTCCGAAATTTGGTGTACAGCATGCCAATCGCCTGGAAGCTGTCAGAAGAGCTCGTGGAGGTAATACAAAGTATTAAATGAAGAAAGTGATGAAAAACAGCAAAAAAACAATAATAAAAAAATGTAATCTTAAGAAAAATATGACTACTTTAGTTTCTTTTTTTAATTTAGAGATAAGTTAAGAGTTAGAGAGTTTAGATTTAAGTTTTATTTTATTTTTTATCTGTATAATTAAATTCTCAATTGAACAGTCTTCGTTTCATTAGGATGGCATACGTAGTTCGGGAGATATTCGGGTTTATGTGACTGACCCGTTATTTTTGGAACCGAGTTTATAAGTTACAAGTCTGCATTAAATGAATTGAATTTTAATATTACTTGTTTGTAGCCTACTAATTCACACAAAAATATATAAAATGTTTTAAATTAAAGGAAGGTTTTAAATTAAAAGATATTGTGGAAGCGGATTCATCACAAAGCACTTCAGAGATAGCTGCAGGCTTCGGGGTAAGTGATAAAACTGTATTAATCCACTTGAAGTAAATCGGGTAAGTAAAAAAAACTTGAACCTCATGAATTGAGTGAATCGAACTAGCAAACACGCGTCGACTGCTGTGTTACTTTGCTCAACCGACACAATAATGAAGAGATTTTAAATCGAATCATTACTTGTGATGAAAAGTGGATACTATACGATAATCGGAAGCACTCGTCGCAATGACTGAACCCTGGAGACCCATCCAAATCCTGCCCTAAACGAAAATTGACTCAGAAAAAGTTACTTGTGAGTGGACCGCAAGGTCCACTCACAAGTTACTTTTTCTGAAAAAAATTTAATCTGTTGGAGCAATCCAACAGATTAATTTTTTTTCCAGAATTTGGACAACTTCTTACAAGGAAAAAAAATCAACTCCGATGTGGCAGTCCAAACCGTCTTCAAAGAGTTTATTGATTCTCGACCCCATGGTTTTTTTAGTAAAGGGATCAATGAAAAGTGCATAGATAACAACGGTGCATACTTTGATTAATTAAATATATTTTACAAAAAGAAATTGACTTTATATTTCACCCGTACAAAACGTCAACTTCATATGTAAGGACCTAATATTTGCAGTGTTTGTGTGTAAGCAACATTCGGTTTGCGGCCAACTTCATTGACGCAGAGTTATGTGGCGCGTGCTATAGCATTGTATTTGACAAATCATTTGATCACAACTGAAAATTATAACAATAATGATTATAAGGCTGACGGGCTGACATTCTACTCTTGATTAATTTAATAATTATTAGAAATGAAGAATTTGAGTTGAAGCCTAATATGATGATTAGTCTTACTTCCAGGACACCCACTAGTGGTAAGGCAGTTAATTTGACAATTGTGACTATATTTTATTTTATTAATTAGGTATAATAAAAATTCTCAAATAGGATTAAAACATAGTTAATATGAAACATAATATTTTATGTTTTATATTATTATCATCTTAACTATGTTGTAATTCTATTTATAACAATAATGAATACGGTAAAGTCCAGGAACTAGCAGAGATGACTATGCTGCAGACATATTATTTATTAGTAATTTTTGTTGTTTTTAAAGTTGTTACCGAAATAATATTACAAATAATATTTATAAAGACAATAACTTTGTAATAAGGGGTATAAAAAAAGCGGTATGTACATAACATTGTATAATTTACAGCAAGAATGTTGAAAGCCAATCAAAACTAGTCATCGTCATTATCATAAATAATAATAAATTTATTTCAATAAGTAGTTTGTGTTTGGAATACATAGTTGTCCTAGATACTTAAATGTTATTGAGGAAAAGCAGTACAACAAATATAAAATGGGTTATAGGACGGCCTTTCCTGAAGTAGGCAGAAAATCTATCTGTATCTGAGGAAATAGTAGAACACACTTACATATTGGTAAGTATTATCATTACTTATCTTGTCTTGCATAGGTATTTTGTTGTTGTTTGTTTACTTAAAGTTTTAGTTAGCACAAAGTTTTTAAAACCATTTTTCAATAGTACAACTTTGTCTTTGTCAACTGCGTGTTGAGCACTCCACAAATACATGAAACCAACGTTTATACCCACTCATGTTGACCGAATTAAACTTCCAAACACTTAGGGATGGCAAATGTATACAAAATCTTCTTCTTCGAAGAAACTGCTTTCTTACAGACTACTGTTGATCAACATAAATGTCAAACTTGACGTTTTTCATCTACAAATATTACTTTGATATAAGCATCATTAATAATACTTATATGAAAGTAATATTTGTAGATGAAAGTCTATATCAAAACATAAATATGTAATTAATTACATATTTATGATTTGATATACACTTGATATGCTTATAAATAAAATGTTTTATAACCCCAAATTTAGAGATAACATTTGAGAACTACAAAGGGCTTTTGAAACTTCAGTTAAGAATCCTTTTACGAACTGAAATTCGTCCATAACTACACCCATCCGCAGCTGAAAAAGAGCCCTCATACAAAAAGGTTTGAATAATATTATCATAAGTACTTTGAATATTCGCTATACTAAGATATACATATTTATGTGACATACTTAGATTGTGGCAAACTTAATGATTTAACAGAATGCTAATCTAAGACAACTCAGCTGTAACTATATTAATGTAAATTTAGTTTATAATTCTGTAGAGATATTCTGCTAATGAATCAAGTCTATTCAAGACAACGTAAACATTTGCACATGTTTTCTCTTCATTAAGCCCGCGAAACAATGTCTTCATTCCTCTATTTGATTTATGAAGCAGAGCTAAGAGAATAAAAATATACACTCGGAATAGAAAAGGAGCTTAAGCGCTCTCAAGTCAGCATTCCTGATAAACATCGTGCTACGGATTTGAAAGTCTTTACTAAATGCACTGCAGAAAGAAATGTTGGGCATTCAATAAAAACGAGTTTACAACTCTGACATGACATTTTCCACCCATTATCTATTTACACTCCCCGGTGCATCAAACAACATCCTTAATAATATAAAATTATAATAATGCTTCCCTTCCCAAGTTTGCACCTTAAAATTCTAATGTGCCCGGTTGCGGCAATAGGGTTGCCTTATTACATAAATGGGATATTACATGATAGTTGGCAAAATGTTGGTGTTTACTATATTTAATACGTCTTTGCTTATTCCTTTTGAGAAAAATAGGTATATGTATGTACGTGTGAATATATGTATGTATGTGTGAATGCATGTAATAGAATAACAAATTGAGGTACTTCATAATGTGTTCTAAAGTTAACAAATAAAAAAATTGGTTGCCTGTAAAGTCGGTATACGGGCGAAAGTTTTACGTGACAACGACTATGTCTGTCTCTCTCGCTCTTAGGCGGGCTAACCATGCCCGATTGGAAGGGACGCGTGCCTCTCACTCGCTCTCATTGTGAGCGCATAACGTGAGCGGAGCGTAACGCAGTTTCTTGAAGTGTCACCCGGCAAACCAATTTATAAGACGTTGTCACGTCAAAACGTTTACCTGTAAGCGTTGCGTGTGCATAATTCTACGTCCGTTGACATACACGTGCGCATCTGTGTGTAGCGGTGTAACGTTGTAGCCACCACCTTCAGCGGGCGCGACTACGCAGTGCCGTGGCTGAATCGACGGCCCGTACAGCTGGAGAGTAGTTCCGTTGCCCGAACCAACCTGTTTTAATATACATTGTTTTATAATGAATATTGGTATAATGGTAGTTTAACGTTATTTCTGGCGTTTAGCCAAGCCAAGTTAAACTACCCATACAACATTAAAATTAGTGGACCGGTCGATAACCTACTCTAAATAAATCAAGTAACACTATAGTCATATAGATATTAAAACAGATCATCATCATCAGCCTATAATAGTCCATTGCTGGACATAGGCCTCTTCTTAGGAAGGAGGTTTTGGTCTACTTTATACCGCTGGGCAGACGGCTTGGTATAGGGTTTGTCTCTGCGAGGTGGGCCCCGGTTTGTCGGACGCCCAATTCGGTTTTCGAGCGTGGCGTTCGACGATCGACGCTGTGTCGCGCCTCAGGACTGTGGCCAAAGAAGCGGTAAGCCAAGTAAGCGGACCAAAATGGTGATTTGAGGCGTCGGCCCATGTCGTGCGATGTTCCGGATCACTCTTGTGGAACATTGGTTACGACTGGTCCCTTCGAGGTCGCCGCCCCCCCGGGCTGGGCGTTATTTGTTACGCCGATGACACGCTAGTACCAGCCCGGGGGGCGGACTTTGAAGAGGCTGCGCGTTTAGCCACCAGGGGAGCCTCTCTGGTGGTCGCGCGCATTGAGGCGCTGGACTTACGGGTGGCCCTGGACAAAACGGAGTCCGGTCAATGGCACTGTACGGTGCACCGGTGTGGGCGGTGGCTCTGACCGCCGAAACATACGCGGTTACTGCACTGTATTGACGGAGGCGGCGTACGCGTTGGCCGGAACACCCCCATGGGATTTGGAGGCGGAAGTGCTCGCCGAAGTAAATCGGCGGACGGCTGAGTTCCGGGCGGTTAGCGGCTTTCGGCTCCCGTCCGAAGAAATACGCGAGTGGCGTGAGGCCGCTCGCCGAGCCACGATGGCTCGTTGGTCGTCCCAGCTGGAGGCTCCACGTGCTGGCTTTGCCGCCGTGGAGGCGCTCCAGCCGTTCATCGTCGAGTGGGCAGGGCGACAGCACGGGACCCTTCCGGCTGACGAGCTCCTTTCCGGGCACGGCTGCTTCGGGAAGTACCTGCACTCGGTCGCTAGGAGGGAACTGAGTCCCGCCTGTCACCACTGCGATGGCAGTGAGGACTCGGCTCAGCATACGCTGGCAATTTGTCCAGCTTGGGCGCCGCAGCGCCGGGTCCTCATTGCAGCTATCGGGGGGATCTCTCGCTACCGGCCGTCATACGCTCCATGGCCGGTAGTGACAGATGTTTTACCGCGGTCGCATCCTTCTGCGAAAACGTCATTTCGCAGAAGGAGGCGGCGGAGAGGGCCCGGGCGGATGACCTCCACCCGGAACCAATTCGCCGCCGGCGAAACGGGCGGCGGAGGCGCGCTTACCAGCGCCTAATGCCGCCCTAAGTGTGGCTGCGTGTGGACGGGACGAGTTTTCTCCTCCACCCGCCATAATGGCCAGCCACACGGATGTGACATCCGCGTGTGCCGGACGTCACCTAAATACAGAATGTACCCGAAGGTGGTGCCCGCAGGCGCTAGGAGGGGTCCGGATGTCTTAATAACAGCAGTTCCCGGATCCCTCCTATTACAGGCGCAGTGGCACACCGTGTGGTTTTAGTCGGTCCGATTCCGACACACCACCCCGATGGGGTGACGGCCCGAGGGGGTTCCCAAAAAAAAAAAGGTTTGTGTCAAGTTTTCTTTCTCTTTGCAGTCCTGCGTAGTTTGCATCCTAGTCCAGTCCAGATAAAATAGATATTAATGATTAATACATACGTAATTTAATTTACATAATTGCAATGAGTCACTGAAACCAAAATACAATTTAGACGAGCAAAATGGCGTTGAAAGACAAATTCGCTCTATCCTGATAACGGTCAAGGCCGGCGCCGCCAACACTAGTATATACATACATATAATAACTTCACACGTCTCACACACGGCGGTCTGATCCCAAACTAGGCAGTGCCTATGTTATGGTAACCAGATTGCTCATAAACATACTTTGAATATTATTATAATAATAGTTAATTATTGTAAAGTATTTTACTACAGCCCAGACAGAACAAATGATCGTGCTCACCACACAATTATTTGCCATGGGTGAGAATCGAATTCACGACCTCCAGCTTAGCAAGTAGATTCATTAACCACTAGAGCCACAATATTAATTGTTTTAAATAAAAAATCTTATAAATAAAATACTTTCAATACCATTACACACATTTCATCTTTTAACATATGTAAGATCATATAAGTATTTGTCATAGATTTGAATTTGAAGCTCAATTTGATTTTTTTTGGAATTCAATAATGTTGGGAAAAGAGAATAGTCATGAAAATAAAACTGAAAGTACGAGAGTAGGTACTTTCATGAAAACCAATATTTAGTAGAAGCAGTAGCATTGTTGTGGTCAAATTTCTTTTATGATTAATTATACGTCCATTTTGGGTAAAACCAGACCAAGTATGAGCATGTAATTTTAACTATTTACAGACAAACAAAATTAACAAGCAAAAATATCATTTGTAAAACCAAACTCAACGTTATTTCCTGTCTCTCAACCACATAGTTAAAAAGTCCTATGCTTAATTTGTAACATTTTGTGATTTTGAATATTAATTTAATCTGGTAAGAACGAAAATGCAACTTGATTTGAACTATTAATTTTCATGAGCGTACAATACTGTATAAAAAAGTAGTCCAAAGCTTTAAATCAATTAATGTATAGTCATTTCATACAAATTATTTGTCGTTTATGTTAACAAGTATTCTTAGAAACTTTTTTTGCATAGCGATGATCCTTAGTTCAGCCATGCGGAGACTTAGAGCGGTATTGCACTACATCCGAGCCGAATCCGATCCCAACTCATGAAAATACGGATCTAGAAATCTCGGGCTGCACTCGAATATTGCTTTTTTACCTCAAATTTTTTTTTCGTGATTAAGGATTTGGAAGACTGGCTGACTGACTGACTTCGTTTGTTTACTTTTGCGATCTCTGATTCTAATCTAAGCAATTCAGGGGTCACCTTCTAGCATACGTCATTTTACGCGGAGCATTTACTTCGTTGATCATGAGTCCTTTCGATCGGCGTCTCAACAAAGTTGAGAAGTAAATCGTACAATAATATACGAATCATACAGATAAAGTAAAAAATTCTGTCCGACAATAATCTTGTCTGGAATCGAATCGGAAGAAATAGTTTTACGACCACTTCGGACCGTATTTTCATTGAATCGGATCGTATCGGATCGGATTTACTTTCATCATGTGGTCTCTAGACGAGAGCAGCAGTTGCCACATTAAAAAACTGTACTACTAACTAAAACGTAATTTAGATAAATAATTTTTTAATATTTTTATTAATTAAGTTTAAGTGTTCAAATTAATAAGAATAATCTATATCTAATACATTTATGACATCGATTTAGTGGCTGGAGAGTTCTAATACACTTTATCAAAAAGCATTTGAAAAATCTGGAAATTATTAGTTTATAGAACATGGTCCTATGAGTGAGTCTGACTAGGTCCATTCTAATTTGAATCCGATTATATTCTACCTCATTTATTTTATATTTTTTATAACTCAAACTACACATATTAGAATAAATTATATTGATCTAGATATCAGCAAAACGCTTTATTATGCTTATTAAGGTCTATGCACGATTTAAATTTAGGTACAATCATTGTACTTTCTTTTTATTTTATTTATGGAATAGGGGGCAAACGAGCAGACGGGTCACCTGAGGGCCAAGTGCGAGTTCATTTTACTGTTACTCGAACGTCACGGTGATCGCGTTCGGCGCTGTGATTGGCCCGCACTGAAATCTGCACCAATCACAACGCCAAACTCGCTCGCTATCGAGAGCGAGTTGATGTGAAATAAACTTACACTTAGGCCTCTGATGGAAAGTGACTTACTTGACATATGTGATTGTTATGAAAATGAGGAGAACCAACTTTAGCAAACTAGGTCACTTTTGTTGTAAATGGTCAATTGCTACATGAACAGTACTTAGCCCGGGTTAAGAATTTCATCAGCATCATCATCCTTTAGTAGTCCACTGTTAAAACTTTAATGTGTTGGTATATAAATATGGCTCTTCGATAATGTATTATAGATAGTTCAACTCAGTTGTGCGCGCGGCCCTATGTGTGCGTGGTCGTCCGACTGCCGCGTCACTGCCACACGATTGAAAGTTGTATATTTACAAGCCCACGCACACATAGGGCCGCGCGCACAACTGAGTTGAACTATCTATAAGCGTATATTGATAATAATACATTTAAATAAATTAACGCAACGACCAGTATGTAAGTATGCATAATAAATAATAATGATAAATCATTTACCTCAACGACATCATTGATCCTAAGGCGGCGACCATTTTCGAGTGCTGTGGCATCGGGTGCCATCTCGATAAGCATAGGTTCATTACCAGGTCGACCGCCAGCGGCGCCAACGCCCGAGCCCACCTTCTTCTTGCGCCTGCGAGGTTGTTGAGCGTCCGCTGGCCGCCGCCGCACGTGAAACATGATGGAGCCTATAACAAAGAGAAAATAATAACCATGAGTTTTATAAATAACAAAGCACTAATTAGAATGACTAGACTAAGTATGAAACATTTTTTTTTTGTTTCTTCATTACATTTATTTGCTCTTATATTTTTCAAAAACCTCCTTTCTAAGGAGAGGCATAGGCCTCTCTCAAACCGAGGTGATACAAAAAATGGTATCTTCTTTGCGGTGAATGCACAGACCTGTGTCTTTTTGTGCATTTGATGTTAATCAAAATTGCCTTTTACAGCATATCATTAAAGTGAATGTCTTAGTAGATATCAGAGATTTAAAATGGGGGGGGGGGGGGGGGGGGCAAAGCGCCCGTCGTCGCCTCGGGCCGTACCTCCGCCCCGTGTGGCAGCAGCCGGCAGGATGAAAGATGATGATAAAAGATGTCCTGTAGTATCACATCATCATCATAATTAAAGGCTGTTTAATAGTCCACTGCTGGACATAGGCCTCTCCTTAGAAAGGATGTTTTGGCCTATGTGATGTGATGATGATACCTACTAAGGTTTGATAATACAGGAAAATCATATAACGCAGTTATGGAATTTCGAATAAACCTATAGTTTTTAATAATAAGAAGCTAAATTGGTACGAAGATAACGTACGGATAAAACAAATTCCTATAACATCAAGTCAATAATAGTCCCTATAAACTTAGAGTTATTTATTTATAACTGACTGCAAAGCTACTACTATTTAATATAAGCATCTACAAAAATATGCACATGAAACATAAATTAAGTAATATGTGTACAACAAAAATAAACCAATAGATAATTTACTATCTCATAAAGTCCACGTCGAAAGGCGATGGGCGTGATTCATTGAAAACCCAGCTATAAAAAATTCATTAACCATAATTTTCTTGAACTTGAACAAAATGCTGTAATACGAGTGTTTTATACAATAATCGAATTTTCGTGTTAATCAAAAAATGGTAACTGTAAACATCAAACGCTTTAGTTATACGATTTTGGAACAATTAAAACAGTCTTTTTCGTTACATGAAAGAAGAATTTCTAGAGAGTGTGACTCACACTTAAAAAATGAAAACCCCTACGTAATAAAATGTGTATTATTATATTATATATGGCCATTACATATTTTGAAAGTCATGTGATATCGGTCACTCCGATAATTATAACCTAATCGTTGAAAGTGACGACCACAGGGAATTATTTGTCAAACTTGTTAAGTTAATTAAATATTTATTTTAACAGCTTATCTTTGTTGTTAAAACGTAAAAGTGGCCGAGCAGTTTTTGAACGGGCACACATGGCATATATGACTGAAAAATACATTCACTATGCACCTTCTCTTTCTAAATTAGGAGATGGTCGTGGAAAGAAAGAGTAATGACATTTTCACGTCTGTCCATTCATTAGAACGACGAGGAAATTGGTAACCTTTGTACTCATGTTCGCATTTCCAAATCGAGAAAGCCGTTTTCCTGGTATGTTTAGAAATGGTCTTATAAGTGCACATATACCTAAAAAAAATCTGATAATCAAGTTAAGAAAATTTTTGCGATCTTATGAAAATGTTCCATGAACTGTTTTCACAAACATAATTTCAAATTTAGTGAATAAGAAAGAGAATAAATAATCAATATACACCCAAAAACAATTAATTAACATTACCTAAGGAAAAATGTATGTACTTTAGCCTATCGCCGTCCACTGCTAAGCGAAGGCTTCCCCAAAAAAATGTATGGTGGAACATAATAGGTACTGAGATACCTGAAACCTATTTGTAGATATCGAATCCATAATAGCAGGACAACGGTGTTTTAAGTTGAAAACAGTGAATTAAATAGTTTAATTTTTATTACAAACAGATCAATCTAACAAAACACAATAGTTAAAAAAAAAAAGAATTATGGTCGTTTTTGGCTACCAGACGATTCCTAGTATGTGTAAATTAGCAAAAAGCCATTGAAAGGACGTACAACATAATATACTTCTTTAACATACAAGTTGTACTTCTCATCGTCTCTCATATTTTCTCATCGTCTACGTTGATTTAGGAGCCTAGGTCATGTTCCATCGAAAATCTCTTTTTAAGGCAGACCCTAAGCCTTCCAAGCAATGGATACATTCAGTCCAGTCCGTTCCGTAACTGCGAGAAAGAGAATTTCTTAACAAATATCCAACTGAAATGGACGGAGTCAATTGAAGATTTGGTCTTATCTGAGTGAATAACATAGCTACTATAAAAGACAGAGACTTTGGGGTTTTACTCGGTTAGTTTCACAAAGGCTTTATTGTGCAATCAGGCGAACGGAAAAAGGTCCACACATATATATAAATATTTTATACATTTTACGTATACCATATTTTTATCACCCCGCTGAAACATACTAGAAAACTATGAGCAATTTAAGTGGTGCAGAAAATTCATACTTTCTTCGATTACAAAACATTTAAAAATCTCTACACTATTTATTTATGTTTTATATACACCATGTCATAAACCATGCTCATAATATGGTCAAATAATGGTACAAAGTGAAAATTAATGTTCGCATGCGGAACGTAAATAGAAATTAAAAAAGAAAAACATTTCAAATTTGATTTTGATGACTCTAACATCAAAACTTTATGAATGATAGCAATCTTTAGTCGATGGTACTAAGATAATACTAGATAAGAAAATACATACTGTCAGGTGATACTACAGTGCCACCAACTTATCTGTTCAGTAGACAAAATCGGAACTAAATCTGCGTCAATCTGCGTGTCAGTTTACAAGGTGTGGGTGCTCTCTGTGTTTATCATTTGATTTTATTATTAAAACTACAATTAAAATGCCGAAAGCTCTTAAAAGTGATGCTAGAGTTATTATTTTAAAAGTTTTATCTTTTATGAACGAAGAAAAACGCCTCCAATCTCCAAAAATACCATTTGAAAAAGTGCTACAACGTGTTGCTGCCGCTACAGGTTAGTGTTATAGTCTAAGGACAGTAAAATTTCCCACTTAAATTATTTTAATATTCAGCTTATGTTTCATATTTTATTGTCTATATATATCCACTGAAAATTAGAAATAAAACTGATACGTCGCCTCCACTACTACCAACTAGTGCACCATTTTACTATTCTTTATTTTCATAAACGGTAAACGTATACCTACATTGTGTTCACTGTTTATTCCACCCGAATAAATAAAATAAAAAACATTAAATCTTAAGTTTGATGAGCCACTTTTTGTTACAGGTGTTAGTGAGCGATTTGTTTATAAATTAATGAATGAAGAAAAACGAGCTGAAGAAACTAATACTAAAATATGTACACCTGGTAAAAACAGGGAAACTAGAAGTTGATGACTTTGATATTGGTGTGATTAGGAGAAAAACCCATGAATTTTATTCAGTAAAAAAAGAAATTCCTTCTGTAACCAAGCTATTGAACATTTTAAGAGAAGATATCAATTTCCAGGGGAAACTGATATCATGACCACAATTATTTTTATAAAATATAATGTAACTAGTTTGGTATAATAAATCGTATTATCTGTTTGCAAAACAAAATATTTCTTTCTTTTCAACTAATTTATAAATTATATAGTTATGATATTTAAACATTAATTAATAAACTCCGATCAATATTTAAATTACAGCTCATGTGATTTCGTATGTTTCAAATACCCTAAACTCCTGATAATTTTTTTAAATAGCAACACCTATCGCTCCAGTAGCGACGCCGTCTACTCAACAGATAAGTTGGTGGCACTATACAATTGTCTTGACGGCACAAAAAATAATTGGCAACTAGCTGAGAAGTCGCCCTTTTAAAATATTCATTCAAACTACCTGTAAGTCGATCGTTCGAATCGAGGTAAACATAAGACTAATATTGAGGTCTATGATCGACTGGAGTATATAACAGAATAACCTAAACTAGATATAGGTATTTTTAACACGTTTTCCGCTTTTTATTGTGTATGTAACGGAATCTTCGAACGCGATTTTGACCCACTTTAAAAAGTCGTATTAAATACAAAATTCGCTCACCTATCCAGGACCGATGAAAATACAATAATTTCATAAATTTGGCTATTATCGTAATTATAAGCTAATTATCCTGATTAGGATCTACAGGATTAACGGATTTTTCCATGCCTAAAAATACGATAGTGTCTTTTATTATGTATGAGGCGTGTGCTGAAGCATATTTGACTTACCTACTTGTTCCTTTTTTATTCTGATTGAGAAAAAAATCATCATCAATGAATAATAAAGCAACAATAAATTATGCTACTAATTGAATAACTAAACAGTAGAAAATAAATTGTATATAACTTCAAAAAGAAAAATCATATTATCGTAAAAAATCATAGGGTGCTTACCCAAGATATTTTATTATATAATAACTCTACTTTTAGTAATATCTGTCAATAAAATATTTTTACAACAATTTAGGATCTAGCAGCCCACGTATTTTTACCATAAAATGTTTTTTCTTTTTGAACTTATGGAAAATTATTTTCTACTTTTTAGTTCGGCAGTTACAAAAGTATGTTTTTTAGTTTTATAAACTATAATTTATTATTGATGGGTAATTAATAGAAACTTATTTGTTTTATGAATGTACAATATATTAAAAAATAAAGTAATAAGTAAAATAAGGAAAGAAATAATTAAATCGACCCGATTAGGAGAATGATGGGGGGGGGGGGGTAAATATAATTAATTATAACAGTTACGAACACAAAACTTTGCAAGATTGTGATGAATCGTGTTCTATTTATTTATATACCCTTCTTGTTGTAAGACTAAGATTTGCTGTATAACTAATACAACAGGCGTTTTCTGTCTAGGTATCATGCTCATTTAATTGCTTAATAATTTGAGAATTACTGTAGAAGAGTTATTTTAATAGCATCGTGTTTAGGTAAGTGTACTCTTAGGTGTGTTAGGTTGTGGCGCGGTGAGGTGAGGCAGAGGGAGAAGAGAGCACTGGCAAGAATGAGGCAA